CTAGCAACCTAGGTATCTAGTGTGTCCTACATTTCATCGAAATGCGCCCTCGTCTATACTTGGCGTCTGTGCCCGCGTACAATTACTATAGTCTATAAGCAATTTATTGTTTAGGCAAACGTTTTGTGAGGTTTTATTATAGTTAAAATTAACTTACCTTTTTTAAAAATATACAGTTAAATGCTCACTGTACTCAGGAAGGTTATTTAAAAAAACTGCAGTACTCCTTAAAAAAATGTTTAGTTCTATACATTCTTTAGTAATAGTTTTTTCTATCTGTTGTTTTTACAGTAAAGATGTATTTCACAATCCTTTTACCCGGAGACCATTGGTACTTTATGGATCAGCTATATAGGCAATGAACTTAGCCAGATAGTGATAAAGCCAAATTACAAATGATAAAAATTAAGAGTGGCACTCCATAGCTTTAAATAGAGATAAATATTTCTTCTTAAGACATATCTTGTTTCTTTAAGAAATATTTAGGTACAAATACAAACTTATATTTGCTGAAAAACTAATTATTACATTGTACCTACTTACATCATAATCATACCAATTTACATCAAGATCCATACAATTCGCGTAATAGTGTTTCTGTTTATTTGTGCTCACCTATCTTTTTCATTGAGATCAATTCTGCAAATTTTCTACTATAAGGATCATAGGCTGTTTTAATTTATGAACATAGCGAGATCTAAATACAATGTATCATGCGTTTCGTCAGGTGTATGGATTAGTACTGAGAAAGTAGCGTCCTGCGTCTGTCCTAGTTACGTCAATTATTGTTCAATAATTTATTTGTGGTCTCAAAATAATCAACAAATGGTAATATTTCAATTGGTTTTGTCTGAGATATCCAGTGAAGCTATTGGTTGGATACCATAATATATATATATATATATAATATATATATATATATATATATATATATATATATATATATATATATATATTAGGATGTTTTTAAATTATGACGAAAAATTTTTTTTCAAAAAAATGAATGAATTGAATATATATATATATATATATATATATATTATATATATATATATATTAATATATATAAGCAACAGAATATATATATATATATATATATATATTAATATATATATATATGATAAAATTATAACTGAGTCGAATATGTACATTACATATTTTTTTGGAAAATCTTATTGAAATAGTCATTATATCGATACAGTGGCCGAATCAATACTTTTTAGAATTTTTATCAGTCTGTCTGTCTGTCTGTGATCGCATCACTGAAAAACCACAAAACAGATTTTGATGAAATTTGGTATAGGTAATGATAACTGGTTATCTTGGTTAACATATAGGTTACTTTTTACTGTGGGAAAATATCTCATCTTTGAGAAATCTATACTAAACCTTAAAACGTAAGTTGGGACGAACCCGAGCGGAGCGAGAGTGAGTCGCTAGTGTATAATAAAAGTAATAAAAAGGAAATACATTTTTACGATATACAATAGTTGTTAAAAAAACGGACAAGTGCGAGTCTGATTTACAAACCCAGGAATTCCATAGCATGAAACATAAAAACAATTTTATATTCGCAAAAAATATATATTCTGTAACCACAAATCCCTGTAGGTACTTGAGCTATAATGATGCTTTTTTCCCATGATTCTATGATTCTCTAGGTCAACGGAAGTATTCAGTAGATTTTGATTTCATTGCGAGTGTCAAAATATACGGCGTTAGCTTTTGATTTTATTTTTAAAAAGAAGTTTAATTTTTTTCACAGCTCCAAGGAATCTTATCTAATTGAAGATCTGAGTATTTGATATTAATTTTAACTTGATTCCTTCTCGGTTTCTTTAAAAAAAGGTCTTGGCAGATAGACAGACCGACAGACATACATACAAACGGACAACGAAGTGATCTCATAAGGATTCTTTTTTTACTTTTGTGGTACGGAACCCTAAAAACAAGCGACATCACCAGAGCGACAAAGTTATTGATACTAATTATTACAGCTGTGATTTAGAAATACTGAAATTATAAAGTAATTAAATGCGAGCAATTATCTACAGCAGAGAAATATATTGGCAATCGAAGGTTTCTATAATAATCTATCACAGTTACCACAGTTAGGTAAGTTTGGTTCATTATTTATATGTGTATATTGTTATCTGTATATATAAAAATCAATTACTGTTCGTTAGTCTCGCTAAAACGCAAAAACGGCTGAACCGAATTGCATAATTCTTTTTTTGTTTTGTTGGGGGTATATCATGGATGGTTTTAATATAATTTTTTTTAGGAAAAACCCATAAGAACAGCTGGAAAATCGAAAAGTTCAGAACTGGTTATTTTGTATGGGAATCACTACTTCTGATTACTTTCAATAGCTATCATCTACAACAATACGTCAAGTTTAAGTTAGAAAAAATAATATATGAATATATAACAGTATATAGTCTATCTATTCTATACTAATGTACCTAGAGACGAACCCGAGCAAAGCGAGGGTGAGTCGCTAGTTTTATTTAAAAAAAAAGGTTATTGGACAAATACAATTTTAGATTTTTATTTTAATTACATAAGTTGAGTTTCCTCGTAAATTTTGTCTCTGTTGAGGATCCAACATTATGAAATCTTTACTCATTGTATTTTTATCCATATCTTATTATGTTTTCTTTTAAAGTAAAGGAAAAAGACCTGAGAGCTAAACCGTAGCCTTACGCTAAAATGTAATAAAATGCTTTTATTTATCGTTCCAATACGAGTTGGACTACATCTGTGCAGTTCTAATTCCTTATTAGATTTAGCAATCTGCGGACAAGTTGCTCTCATAAAATTTTCTCAAAGCAAGTAAAATTTTAAACTAAATCCGATGGTAAATTCTATAAAATTATTGTAAGAATATTCTGCTTAGTAATTTCAGTGCACCAGAGATCACAGGTTCAATATTTATGAAGCTTTTTATCATTATCCGTTTAGCTTTCATAATCCTAAAAAAATTGCTAAAATATTGTCAAAAACAAAGCTAAGCTTGTTAATTTTAAATACCCTTAATAATTACTACAGAAATAATTTCAAGATATTTTTCGATTGTGAGCGGAAAGCAAACTCATATATATGTTAAAGTCTATTCATTTATCAATCATAGTTTTTGCTATTATCAATGTAGGGCACCATACAAATTTAAAAGTTCTAACATTGCACTGAATAATTGATACGCATACCGGTATAATATATAGGCAACATTAAAAAAAAATTAACTAGGCATACGTTATTTTCTATAAGGAAATTTCAAGGTAATTTTTGACACCTCCATCGAGTTTGGACGGATACGAATCTATTTGGTAAATCTATTTGGGATACATATATCTTTGTAATGAGCTCGTACTGGGTCGAAATATGGGCTAATTGGAATTTAGACTATTTGTCAGTTAAGAGTTGAGACTCGGGTATGACTTGTGCATGCAATAGCTCTACAATCTGAAGTATTTCAAAAAAAATTAGTAAAGCAATAAAACACATACTACTCGTAAATATAATAGATTGTTTCTTGGCGTATCAACAGAATATAAAGTAAACGCTGCTTATTATGATTGTGTTTCTGTTGACTGTGACCTATTTATTAAGGCACGGACCAAGAAGTTTAGCTATGCAGACGGTTCTGTAAATTTGAACTGTAAATTTTAAACAAAATATTATCTGTAAACATTTAAATGTTTGTTTGTAATATCGAAATAAAACCTTTTTATTAAATGCATATGAAATTACGAGTATATACAGTACTTACATTAAAAAAGTTTTTTTTAAAGTTTTGTCTGTTTGTTTCGGCTAATCTCCGAAACGGCTGGACTAATTTTGACTGATATTATAAAGAGTATCTTAGGCTACTTTAATTTTAGAAAAACTCAAAAAAATTAAAACGTATATAGGGACGCACGTAACACACATAAGTCGCCAATGTAAGTGTGTAAGTTAAATAGTTAAAACAAAACTAAGTTACGAGGTTAAAGGTAAACATAAAATAATAGTTAATATACTCATATATATGTACCCTACACTGAGTGCATAACTACTGACTATTGAGTTTAAAAAATTATTGAATCTGTTCAATGGGTGTTAAAAAGAAAAAAATCGGCCTTTGTATTAGAGTTCAACGCGTATCGTTAAGTTGGTACATATTACAATTTAAAATTGCTATCTAAAATCTAAATGCAGTTGGTTATTTCATACATTTAAAACGCACGATAACTTTAATTGGAATGTGCAATCAAATCTCTAATTTGTAAAAAATAAGCACAATAATTCACATCTTGGATTATATATATATATATATATATTAGACTATTGGAGATATGATATGTAAGGATTTAATTGTAGAAAATATTTTCATAAGGCAAAAATAAAAGAATGGAAGCATTTTTAAGAAGTATACCTACTGTATATTTTAATCGATTTCAAAAAGTAGGAGTTTCTTAATTCTGGTGTTTTTTTACGTATGGTTGCGTGATATTTTTGCCGGCTGTGAAGTAAATTAATTGTCATGTTAAATCATTTTAATAGATAGGCTCTATACCCTGGAGGTCAGGAGCTATAGTTTTATTAGAAAAAAATTTGACTCTTAAGTCGTACATCTAAATAAAAATTGCGATCTTATTTAAATTTCTTATTTATTATTTACGGTGTAGTCATCTTAAAAATAATAAAATAATTTAAAAATTATAAAATTATATGATAGTTTGATCAAGTAGGAAGTCTGAGAGGACCTCTCATCATGTGCATAATGAATGATATCCTCCCGACCGATTTTGACCATGGCGTCCAATCTCATTGAGACTAGCCATCTGTGCAGGAGATTATACACAAAGAACGTTGACAATGAAAGCAAAGTATATATCATAAACGACACTTTTAATAGAAAATCGCATTGCTTAAATGTTGATGTAAAGTTACATCTCGTTTTATAGATAGAGGAAGGATTCTATCGAAGTGATTAATCTATATTTGTAGTGTCAAGTATGGGCTCTATATTACTAAATGCACCCCTAATCCATATATTACTTTCATGCGAGGGCCGCGTAGGGCAAGTGTGTCGTATCCTTGGTTGCGAAAGTGTATCAAGTGTCCACTCGGCGCAGATATATACCGCCCAAAGGGCTCCACAAGCCATAGTTTCAGTCACACGATCAGCGCACGCGACAGTCATGTACGCTAAGGTATAATATATATTTTTATTAAAAAAATATCTTAAAATAATATTTAAGTAAAATTCAAATTAAATAATTTATTTATTGCTATAGTCAGTTGCTATCTATACTTATTTTTGAGTTCATGTTGAATTTTCTTTTCATATAATATTGTACACTTCTTCCTCAGATTCTCTTTGAATCTAACTAACAAATCACTTTTATTTCGCTTGGTACCCATAACTTATGTGTTACTCCAGGTGCTAGATTATCTGTGTACTAAATTTCATCAAAATCTGTCCAGCTGTTTCAGCGTGCAGGAGGTGTACGTACAAACATACACTCATACAAAATTTCGTATTTACAATAGAAGACCGATTTTTTGTATTTGTCTAGTTATTTATGTTATGCTGCGCGTGCGCGGTGGCGACTGCGGCGCCGGGACTGTTCGACGTGGGCTACGGGGCGCCGGCGCTCTCGCACTCGTACGCGGCACCTATCGCTTATTCCGCACCAGTCATCAAATCCTACGCCGCACCCGTCGCCGTCAAGACTGTGGCGACTCAAGTAAGTAATATAATTCTTAAGTATAGACATCGAGTAGTATAACACAGTAGGATATAGCCCATGCATTTAACGGAAATACTGTCGAATGCAAGGGTTGTCAAAAAATTCCAGTTTTCATGATTTCAATCAAAAACAAGTTAAAGCATTGTTATACGAGTATCATGTCGTCTAAGTTATCGTTAATCCCCCAACTGTAGAGCCGTTTCCGGAATGTCGTAAAAAATATGACATCGACACGCGTCATTCGCATGTCCTACATGGTTGTCCTATTTAGAGGCCTTCGATTGACGAATTTATGGTTAATTAATTAAAATAGTTGATAGGAGACAATATTATTGCTAAGTGGAATCTAAAATATAATTTTATATGTCCACCCTAGGTGCTAAAAGCTGAACCTATCGACCCGAACCCCGCATATAGCTACGCATACGGCGTGGCCGACCCACACACTGGTGACCACAAGGACGCGCAGGAGACCCTCCAGAACGGTGTCGTCCACGGATCCTATAGCTTGGTGGAGCCTGACGGCCACCTCAGGAAGGTCACATACACAGCTGACAAGGTTAACGGCTTCAATGCTGTCGTTGAAAGGACTGGTTCTAGCCACGCAGTAAGTATCATATTGAACTATTAACAACTAAATAAGACAAAAACCTAATTTTACCATTTTGTAATCAAGCAATACTTTCAAAATTGTTATTATTTTTACCATAATTTGTATTCTAAATTGTAATTGCTAATATTTTATTCTAGGCGCCGGTTGCCATAGCTCACGCACCAGTAGCTGTGGCTCACGCGCCCATCGCCATCGCCGCCCCCGTCGCCAAATACTCCCTCCCCGCCATCGGACACCCCTGGCGCTAGTCACACCACCCCCACTTGTCGCCTCGCTGACTAACAACGGATAGGATAAACGTGGGGTCGAGTTAGCATCACCTGTTGTTACTTGTTGACTGCCTCATTAGTTTATAAACTGATAACTCACTGAAAGGCGAAAGCTGCACAAAGCGTCGCCCTCGCATTGCCAGAGTTTTATCAGACAGTGTTAAGGCATAGATATCGGAATGCTCTAGTTTCTATAACCGTTTCTGCTGTGTAGAATAGGTTGGAAAGATGTTTGCTTGTTATTTGGATTTTTTAATGGAAAGTATTTTTAGATGGTTTGGGATCATTGTGTGATGGTGAAAGATTGCTTAGTCAGCGATACAACAAGGTTGACGACCTCGCTCGTGCGCCGAACGAAACTCTCCTATTGTTTATTTATTTAGTTCTGCTTTGACTGTTGCTACGGACTTGATCTTGACGCGTTGTATTACTTACATGTAAATATAATGTGTACTTAGTTTTAAAATAAAACGCCATTTTTACGGTTTATATTTGTTTTTTATTTATCGTATTGTACCTAAGTACTTACATTTGCATTTTCAACATTTTTCACTTTAGACCAAATTTTATATTATTCTTACTGAAATGACATTATGTATCTATAGGTATGTGTAACAAAAAAAAGAACATACATTAAGCTATGTAGAAATCCATACATATAATAAAATTGTAACTAAGCCGAATCTGTACATTAGATATTTTTTGGAAAATCCTATTGAAATAAACATTATTATCGATACAGAGCCCGAATCTATAGTTTTTAGAATTTTTGTCTGTCTGTCTGTTACCGCATCACAGAAAAACCAGTGTAGGGGTTTTGATGAAATTTGGTATGATGATAGCTGATTATTCGGGTCAACATATAGGACACATTTTACCGCGGTAAAATATCTCATTTTTGAGAAAAAATACAAAAACTGCAATGTAAGAGTATACTAATATGTAAAATCTAAGAATTTGGTTTTTGGACATCTGAACGCGGGCGTAGCCGCGGGCAATGCTAGTAGCTTATATTTTATAAGATCAACATAAATTAAATGTTTAAGCTCTCGAGCTCAGGTGTTGCAGTTGAGCAATAGAATATATAGTTAGCAATAGAATTTGTACTATACATATCACATTGAAATCTATACCTTCGAGAAATATCTACATAAATCAGAACGTTTTAGTACATTTCTTTATGAAGTTGCAAAAAACTAGTGTGCGATTTGATATATGACCTAAAATGGTAAAGGATTTAAAATAAATGCAATTGACCGACATTTTGTCCCATACTGCTTTTTGTTGATCTTATTTTTAAAGATCTTGGAATATTCGTTGAAGTATTTGTAAGATATTTAAGTTAAATAAGATATTTTGTTTAATATTTTACAAAAAGAGAAAAATGTAGTTTTGAATTAATCTAAGAATAACGACAATAATTAACATATTGTTAAATCTAATTATTTCGATGAAATTTGGAAAGAGCTTTTTTCAAGGTGTTGTAGTAGACACGTAGATGTACATGTAGGTATGTATGTTCGTACATAAAGCTATAATGTTTGAGAGATTAGCTAAGAATAATTAAAGAATCAGGACCTGTTTCCGTTTAGGTATGCATGTGCGGAGTAAAATGTTATTTATTGCGTATTTTGTGTTCAAACCGCAGTAATAAACTTAGACCACCTTGATTTTAAATATGGGTTCTGATTAATTTATTAAATTTCAATAGACAGCTAAAATTAATAGAAAGCTAAACATAAGGTTAGTGTTGTCAAATTTAAGAGTAATTTGAAGTTCCTACTAAAAAAAATATACAAACTACGTTACAATTTATTACGAGTATTATTTTTTATCTATAGACAATTCAAATCATTTCAGATACTAATGCAATCAGATATTACGTTCAAGTCATAAAGAAAACGAAAAACAACACAACAAATCAGCAGGAGCAGCCTGGACCAACTCGAGTGCATCTCATAATTGAGCTTACTTTCCTTGCACACTTTGTTTTATATAAGGTATACAAAAACACCTATACACTTAATTTGAAATACTTAAAGAAATAGACTAAAAATTCGTTACAATATTCATGATTTCTTACCAATTGGTCTATAGAAAGACACTCTGCACTATGTATGACCTACTGAAGACGTAAAGTAAACAATAACACAACACCATATACATCAGTATCTCACACAGATATTCTATTCTGCTGTGCCCACCTGGCGATAGGGCGCGCTACCTGGTCGGCGCGGGGGTGCGCGCGCGGCCCGCGGAGCAGCGCGAGCGCGTCCCGCAGCTGCGCGGAGGGCGCGCCCGCCGCCACCGCCTGCGCACAGCCACACACGGCGCCACGTAAGCCTTCCCACATTTCTGGCCCACCGTCCAACCTTTGATTGTGAATTTCAATCAGTATATTATTATATACATAATTATGTTATTTTGAAATATGCCGATTCATAAATACAAGCAAAACACGCAGCTACGTTTTGATTTTTTTTTAATTGTCATGTCATTTAAGCATTGATCGTTAACACAGCATACATGCACACGGCGTAGTTAAATGTTTCACGATGTAGTAAAGTTAGTAAGTTTTTTATATATTATATAGTAGTTCATGATTTTATTAAATATAGTCTTCTCTAAGTAAAATAAATTAAGTGTACACTTATTTTGTATTTATATAATGAAGTATATTTGTAATTTTCTTTATCGTAAATAAAGTATATATAGAAGGTATATATTATATATATATATATATATATATATATATATATATGTATGTATGTATGTATGTATATGTATATATATATATATACCACTAAATTAAAAAAAAACATTAGTTAAACCATACCTATCCAGCATATGAAACGCTTTAGCAGCAACCAGGAACTGTCCCATGCGGTAACTGTCGTTAGCCACCAGTTGTAAAAGTGCGAAGCTATCAGGGGTTCCTGCTGACTGAAAATTAATTTTTTTTAAGCAACATAATTTATAAATAAAATAAATGTGCCAAAATGTACATGTATGAGCTTTATAAAGTATATAATGATTATTATCTTTAAAGTTAATGGGCTAGTAATTCGTTAAGTTTCATGCATATTCCCTAGTTGATCAGTCACACGTTGTTTTGACCCAATTTCAATAAAAAAATTATAATCTTTGAGGTTATATAAATGTTGTATAGAAAAAAAAAACCTTCTGAATTCCCAATTTTTCCAAGCAACTTTTTAAATTTCTTACTGTTAGAACCTTTTGCAGATTATTACGAACAATTTAATAAATTAGCCGAATCTGTCCAGTTGTTCTCAAGTGATGCCTTAATACAGACAAACAGTATTTTATTTTTATTATATATGTTGATCTATATTATTTAGAATTAGTATAACCAATGTAACTGTAAGAATTTATCTTTATTTTTAAATTTACCTTAACACATATGTCCCATGCGAGGTGCGCTTCCTTGTTCATCACGTGACAGCGACAAAGGCATGCGAGGTAAGTGAAGGAATTTCGTATATTCTCGTCTTGAACGGTCAAGAGGCTTTCTTCAGCTTCACGATAAAAACCCGTTGCTACTTTGGCCTATAGTTCGTATAAACACAATAGTATAAAATAAATGACTGCATTAATAGTTCAATTCTCATGTTAAATATATTTTTTATCTCACCTGAGCATAATTAAAGTTAAACGTATCATCGTTAACAAAGAAACGCTTTATAGAGTTGAGGTACACAAGCACCTCTTCGAACTGTCCAGCAAGGAAATAGGAAGATGCCATACATTGACGTCCAGGGATAGTGTCACATTCTGACGCTGAACCACCAACGAGATGGAAGCTTTGTTGGGCTAATTTCATTTGTTCCTCCTATAAAAATACTTAAAATGTATCACTGCATATAAAATACAATTGAACGAACGGCAGAAATATTTTTTTTAATTTTCATTTCCATTACTATTAGATATCTTAGGTCTAAAACTCCCAAAACTATTACATAGAAGTTGAGATATCACAACTTTGTGGTTCAATGGCAAAATTCGATAACTTAAAGAAAAATTGAAAAAGCCACTCTCGATTTGAGATGACGAAATTTCACAACGCAGAACACAAATTACCATGATTTTTTACCAGGACCGGCCTTAGCCATCTGGGCGCCCCTGGCGAGTCATGCTTTTGGCGCCCTTTTAGGTATACTTATTTCATTACAATTAAAAAAACGTGTATGTAGAATTATTTAGTGAGAGATACGATAAAACGCTGAGTCTGGTTTTCCTTTAATTCGATAAAAGTAAGTATTCAAATTAAATGTTTAAGTTGAGCTGGCGCGCGCGGCGCCCTGTATAACCTGGCGCCCCGGGCAGCCACCCCGGTCGCCCCCCCTAAAGCCGGCACCTGTTTTTTACCTTCACCTTAAAACACTTACGTCTCCAGTCTCATTAAACAGACGTACTGCTACAACGGCCCTTAATATATAATGCAAGGGTGAAGTAGGCTGTAGAGGTTCAAGCAAGGCTCGTGCTTCCAATGGCTCTCGATGGCGGAGCCGATAGCCGGCCAAGTTTAAACGAGCCTCTGGTACCACATCCACTAATTCTGGAAGTACCTGTGGTATATAAAGTTCTATCTTTAAGAACGTGAAGCCAGTTAGTTGATTTTTTAGGCAATTACATTCATATACTATGTATATACTTACTCTCTGTAGGAGTAGAATAAAATACTTTATTTAAAATATTATTATAAAACAATATTTAATATATAATTTTTTTAAGTTCATATTTCTTTAGCAGAATATTTTATTTATTAAATGTTAAAACAGTTCGTTATATCATAAATATAACAAATACTTTCACAAGTTTAGTATACAGGTAGTTCGCAGCTGAATTTAGGTATTTGTATTAGGTATAAATCTATACATATAATAAAATTGTAACTAAGTCAAATCTGTACATTAAATATTTTTTGGAAAATCTTATTGAAATAGACATTATTATCGATACAGAGGCCGAATCAATAGTTTTTAGAATTTTTGTCTGTCTGTCAGTCTGTCTGTCTGTCTGTTACCGCATCACAGAAAAACTACTGGAGAGATTTTGATGAAATTTGGTATGGTGATAACTGTTTATCCTCGTCAACACATAGGATAGGTACTGTTTACCGCGGGAAAATATCTCATTTCTGAGAAAAATGCAAAAATTTTGATGTAAGAGTATGCTAATATTGTAAAACCTAAGAATTTGGTTTTTGGTCATCTGAACGCGGGCGGAGCCGCGGGCAATGCTAGTAATCTATTAAGGTTGTATAGACAGCATTGTTTAATATTGTTGCAGCTATATTGATAAGGCAAAACTTAAAACATGAAATAGACGTGATATTTTCAGCCAATTTTACATGTTGATCATTTAAAATCTTTTAATATTGATGTTGTATAGCAGTTTTTGCGGTCGGTAAAAATTTTCAAGATCATGTACCTGTGCCAATTTGTATACAAATGGAAAAAAATTGAACGACCCATACAAATGTAATTCTAAAATTTATCCATTCTTCACCGGTTATGTGGACTCAAATAAAGCTCAAACATATACTGATTATAAAGTGCAAATTTTCATATTGCCACATGACTCAAACGCAAGAGTAAGTAAGTGCAGAAATGTAAGCTTAGCTTTAGTAATGGACTTACATCCACAACACGTGGTCGGATTCTCTTACGAAGTACAACCCCTAAAGATAACTCTTTAATTCACACAACACGTCTACGAGAAAGTTGATTAAATAAATATTATTGCTTGTATCAAAAACTATTTAAGAGTATTAGACACAGAAAAACATTAGCGCTGTGTTCGTAATTTTGACTAGTGGAAGGTGTGTCGAGTTTGAGACAGAATAATTGGAGTGCTAAACACTTTATATAATGAATTCGACTTTTGATTATATCGGAACTTGTGATTTAGGATAGTAAGTAAATTACGATTGAAAAAGTCCAAGGATAGAGTCGTGTGAAAAAATTCCAAGGAGATAGAGAAGATAGAGTCGTGGACTCTCAGTATTTTTTATTAGTATTTTACCTTTTGGCCTTAGTGCTAATGTGAATGCTATTATGATTGGAGAGAAATTATCTACTATGATTAATAAATAATTAATATTAATAGCTGAATTTTATATCAAATTTAAATGGCTTACTTTTAAAGCACCTTCGCCGTTTTTGAAAACAACGAGATTGTGTTTCACCAAATCTTGCCCAAACGTGTGTTGATCAGAAGATATTTGCTTCAATTCATTTTCAGCTGCTTTGCCGTTGTATAATCTTAAAGAAATATTCTTTTGAATATAAAAAAAATATCTCTCTAGTGTTAAATACTCGTAATTACATAAACTTGCATTAATAATTATATTATAATAAACAGCTTTCTTTCGTCCATTGTTGGACAATGGACCTATGTCCATTGCCTTTGTTTTTCCTATGTGGTAATTACAATAATTGTCGGAAAAATTGCATTTTTTATATAAAATAATTAGATTTTTAAATTATAACTAATTTAAAATAAGAAATAATTAAAAGAAATCACCTAAACAAGTTGCAAGCCTTAAGGTTTCCAGCCATTGTGGACGTGGGATGCTGCGCGAGATACACACCGAGCACTTCTTGGGATACGTCGTAGTAGTCCAGCTTGTAGTAACAAAGCGCCACGTATACATTGAGGGCCATGTACGTGCTAAAGTCAATATTAAAAACATTAATTTTAAAAACATATAGCTTTTGCTATTGTAGAATGTATATTTCAAAACATGTAAGACTATATAATAAACAATGTGTATTAAGCCTGTCAACTAGATGTAATGATAAACTATGAATATTTTCAATATACAGATGTGTAAAGAAATATGAAATGCCAACCAAGAAACTACAAAAACTATTTTAAATAAATGTTTCTATTTCACAGTAGTACCTAGGAACATTTGACAAGATTTTGACCCAGTCTGTTGCATCGTTTTCGTATCTTTTGTAGCTGTAGAAGCAAGTATATTATTAACATTTGTATTCAGCCCTTTTTGACGTTCTTCAATACGAGAGGTATCTGATTATAGTCCACCACACTGGCCAAGTCCGGTTTGACGGTATTCACATGTCTTTTGAAAACTTACTAGGTTATCTCAGTTATGTAGGTTTCCTGACAATCTTTTCTTTCGCCATAACACAAGCGGTAATCGTGTTGGAAACGATTCGCACATGAAAATATCAGAGGTGCGAGACCCGGGATTTGAACCCGCTTTACTCGGTTTCCCAAGCAAGCACGTTACCACTGGGCTACCACTGCCTCATTTTAAGCCTGATTAACATTTCCTTGAGTTCAAATAAATTATAATGAATAATATTAATTTTATCGAAATAATATTCCTAATAAATATTGATTTTTTTTGTATGTTAGATAATATCTGATATTATTCCTAGATAGTATATTTTTAAATTACCGTCTGTCTAATAGCAGCTTCTTATAAACATCGATGGCCTCCTGATAATGGGCACGAAGGTAGTGTACAGAGGCCAAGCTGAGCTGATCCTCGGGTACATCACGGAGATTAGCATGAGCTTGCATTAGCACATCTTCATCACTAAGTTTGTGCGCCAAGTGGAACTGAAGACGACACTGATGACAAATACAGGGATATATATTACAATTACTTATAGATTTTGAAAGACTGTAAAAATATTGTGATTCTAAATTTTAAAATGGTAATAAATTGATTTTATACTTTCTATCGATCGAACTCATCTCAAGATTTTGAAAAAAAAATTTTTGAAGTCTTTTGGCACATTTGGAAAAAAATATGAGAGTAATATTTTAACGATGCGCTTGCACGCCGACAGCCAAAAAGCGACATGATGTAGTTAACTGAAAGCGACATGATGAAGTTAGATGCATTCCTTTTACAAACAGAGAGTTGTGACATACAGGATGAAATCTTTAGCTATTTTTGTTCTGTTACGCCAAAGAAGTAGGTACAACTTCTTACGTGTGTACATAAGTACACATATACTAGTACAAGTTTTTTTAGGAAGCATTTTTTATTAGAAATTATTTTATCAAAGTATTAATATATTGCGCTGTTTTACATGACAAATAATCATTATTATCTATATAATATAAACAGATTTATAAATAAACTACTTTATCAACAACACTTTTATTTACACACATCTAAATATATGTATGTATCTGAGCGTGACGGTCACACGAGTTCAGTGCTTGTTCCCTATCCAAAAAATGCCCAACGTGCCTAAAGAAATTTGTACTTCAAAATATTTCAGAAATCGATAGTAAGTTTATACCTTCAGAGGACATTTTGGAGCTTCTTCTACAGCATCCTGAGATTCTTGGTACATGCCTGAAATTACAAAATAAACGCATTTATAATATTATATACAAATATAAATTTTGTATATTAATTACTATTTTTCGTATTGTGTACCAATAACGGTTTATACCAACCTAAGTAAAAGTAGCAAACAGCGAGGTCCAGGGCAATATTGTCAGCCACTTTAGGGTCCAGTTTATCTCTTGATTTAATTTCGAGATATTCGTGTAATGCTTTCTTATATTCACCAAGATGAAACCAGCACCACGCTGTCCACACAGCCACCCAAACCTCTGTGTTGCCCTCATGTTTCAAAAACTAAATAAACAATATTTAATATACCTTCTTAAGTGCCATGAAATAACCATTAATCTTATGCTAAACACAATATCATTGAGTTAGCCTAGTTACTATACCCCCTTAATCGCAAAGTAACAGGATTTACCACCCTTAATATAATTTAAATATTATTATTAATCGAATACATCATTAAACTTTATCTTTGCTAAGATGAAAGCAAACATGTAATATCCCTCAATCTCATCATCTGTACCAAAAGGAATCGTGCGTCTCTTCAATGATTCATTTAGTGACGCATCTTATGAATTAATTTTATTCTGTCATGATAGAGTTATGAAAGATAGAGCAAAGTACTATACGTACTTAGTATGCATCAATATTTTTTATAAGATTATAATTTAAAACAAGCGTTTAAAACAAATAAAACTAATAAATTACCTCAAGCATAGTTATAGCTCCAATATAATCTCTTTTTAGAAGAAAATCCTCAAGCTCTGGAAAAATAGCTTTTTTCCCTGAACTAACTCCCCCGCGACTGTCACCCGCTGGTTTTGAACGGCTTAGAATCTAAACAATAAATCATTTTAAGTTCTGATTAAGGCAGGTAAACAATAAAGGTGACATTGAGGTCTAAAATAGGGAATGAACTTAGAATCACTTTTACATAGGTATATAACTTGAAGACAGCGTCTAGTGGCATGTACGACAGCACATATATATTGCCCGTCGGTCTTGTACCTGATGTCTCAATGATTGTGTCGAATTATTGTCGTCCCACAGGATTACGAGAGTGACAAGAAGAGAGGGTGCAGGGTGAGGATGCCTAATGTGAGGTTGGAGTCCACCGATGTCCCCCTCAAGGCAAGTAGTTGTTAACACCTTTTTATTATATTTTATTCATATTTCAACTTTTATATGGTACATAATTTATATTAGCATTCGCATAATTCAAATTTCTTCTTAAAATTTTAAGTATACTTTAAATAAGAGAGATAGGTAACTCCTAGTTTAGTTATAGGTAATATTGAGTATTAATAATATATTACATTTAGTTTCATACTTACCATTATGTATCCTTTATCTTTACGAAGCCTATTTTTAAATTAACAATAGGTACCTATGTTATTTCATGTACTTACAGGAAATGCTTTTTGATAATATTAAATGTTTATTTTCTAGTTGCCATGGCAACAATTTCAAATAAAGCAAGACGTACACTTTTGTACAGCGTGATACATGTTGATACAGTTTAAAAAAAAATGTATTTTATAGACATACACTATTGTTATTTATTACAATAAAATTATACAATTCGGTGAATAATGAATTATTTTTTATGCTTTATATCCTAACATGTACATATGTATGCGTATATATTCTGTAAAAAAATAAATTTCTGAGAGATAAGTGTTAGAGATAAGTGATACATTAATATAATAAAATAAATTAAAAAAAATCATTCTTTATCCTGATTAATTTTAAAGGATGACTACGATCATAGGATTTAACTGTAATAATACTGTGATCTGTTAAAAAAAGAAACACATAATTGTTTATTGCCTAGCAACAACATTTTTCTATAATTTGATAAAAAGCTATTCAATCGGTATTTCTATGTTAAAATAATATACACTTTTTTAATATTAATAAGGTTTTGATTTATCATGTCAGGTTCTGATCCGTGCGCTTGCGTCGAAGAAAGGCAACCAGAAGATCAATTGCTGACTCCAGACTGCGTCTGTCCAAGAGATGACCATGACATTGTAATACATGATGAAACTTGTCTTCTTTTTAGAAACGAGCAGATGATATATCCTCGGGTACGTTTTCTAAAAATAAAATTAAGTTTAATTGTACTTCTTTATCTATTTTTTTTAATTCGAAGTATCTTGCATATTAAATCCTTCCACGTTCTAGCGAAAGTCTTAAAAGTCATGAATTCAGTTCACTATCCATAATGCTTTTAAAAAGCTTTCAAATGTTATTAGTCAAATACGCAGAAAGAAGATGACTAAATTCTTTAGTGAGTGAGGTGATATGCGACCTCCGCGCCATGTATACGATCTCCGTAGTGTTGTTAAAACCAAACGTGTCAACTGTCATACTTTGTTATTTATTAATATTAATTTAGTCATTACATTTGTCTAGTGGAATTCTTTCAGTTAAATAAAACCAATATTCCTCTTGGTTTCTCGTTTATTTCGCCACAATTTATTTAACTGAAAATGCCTGATGAAAAACTAGGCATGCCTTCGCTGTCGAGATATCTGCGACCCGATAAGTTTGACATCGAGCCTGATGTCGCGGACGCCGATGAAAAATGGGTACACTGGAAATCGACATTTGAAAGCTTCTTAGCAGAAGAGATTACCGACGATGTACCAGACTCCCTTAAGCGTAAGCTGCTAGTTAATCACTTATCGGCATCGATTTACAAGCATATCAAAACATGCTCCACTTATAAAGATTCGATGAAAGTTCTAGAAGACATCTATGTCAAACCGAAAAATACTATTCTAGCTCGACACATTCTCTTCAATCGCAAGCAACGAGCCGACGAAACGATCTCTGACTATATTAGAGCTCTCCGACTTTCCGCGAAAGATTGTAAATTCGAAGACGTCATAGCTCAAGAGCATGAAGACCAAGCAATTCGTAGTGCTCTCATATCCGGCTTACTATCACGAAGGATTCGCGAACGGTTACTAGAAAACTCAAAACTCACTCTCTCAGAAGCACTTAATCAAGCCGTAGCTCTGGAAACGGCAGAGAAGGATGCAGTTGCTATTGGTATCAGTTCTACGCAACTTACCGCCATATCGCAAGGTACTTCACGGGACAAGGAATCCGAAAATCTAGCGGCAGCTCCATCGTCACGAACTTTTCAAGCCGCCCCGACCACGCCACCTCCGGCTAAACCCTGCTTCTTTTGCGGCGGCAGTCTTCATCCAAGGTTCAGATGTCCAGCCAACAAAGCCACCTGCAAAAAGTGCTCAAAGAAAGGACACTTTGCAAGCGTCTGTAGATCGGGCAATATTAACTTGAACTCCACGACAGTTGAAGATCCTACGACCTCTAACAACAACCAGTTCTACAGTGGAGCTATTTCTGCTGCCTCTCCTTTGAGTCTTAGGAGTGCGACAATTCCAATCATGGTCAACGAATACAAGGCTGATGCACTCGTCGATACAGGAAGTTCAGTCAGCTTTATTAACGCTAGTGTTGCTCGCATAATGAAACTACGCAAAAAACCCTGCAAGCAGACAGTCAATCTCGCTTCTCTCAATCAAGTTTCTTTTGCCGAAGGCGTCTGCTTTGCTACCATTACGATGAATAAGCATACTTACAAACAAACGCCTCTTCTAGTTGTCGACAACCTCTGTGCTGACGTCATCGTCGGCCATGACTGGCTCAAACATCACTCGAGCATTCATTTTAATCTTGGTGGGCCTGGCGAACCTTTAGAGATATGCAACGTGTTACGAGCTTCGGTGCCGCCAGCCTCCGTATTTACAAATCTGTCGCCGAACATTCGACCGATCGCCGTGAGAAGCCGGCGCTACAGTAAGGAAGATGAGGCCTTCATAAAAGAAGAAGTGTCTAAATTACTTGAAGACGGGGTCATTGAAACAAGTATTTCCCCCTGGAGAGCCCAAGTCCTCGTAGCGGGAGGAGGGCTTCATCGAAAACGACTTGTCATTGATTACTCCATGACCATAAACAAATTCACCGATCTGGATGCCTTCCCCTTGCCAAACATAGAATCAGTCGTGAACAAAGTATCAAAATTCAAAGTGTTCAGTCAAATCGACTTAAAGAGCGCATACCATCAAATACCCATCTTAGAAAATGAAAAGATATATACTGCTTTCGAAGCATGCGGCAAATTGTACCAGTTTACACGCATTCCATTTGGCGTGACTAATGGCGTTGCGGCTTTTCAACGTACTCTGGACTTCATCATAACAGAAGAGAGACTAGAAGGAACGTTCGCCTACTTAGACGATGTAACCGTCTGCGGCAAAGATCAAAGGGATCATGACCACAATTTAAAACGCTTTATGGACGCCGCTAATAAATATCATTTAACTATAAACGAACGGAAGAGTGTTTTCAATAAGACTAAAATCAATTTGCTTGGATATACTGTTGAAAATAATACAATCAGTCCTGACCCGGAAAGACTAAAACCTCTTCTAGAGCTTCCCGCTCCAACTAAAACTAGTGAACTAAAACGAGTCCTAGGGATGCTTGCTCATTACGCTAAATGGATTGCGCGTTTCTCAGAAAAAATAAAGCCACTTACATGCGTGACTACTTTCCCGTTGACACCTGAAGCGCTCAAGTGTTTTGAAGAACTCAAGCAAGATATCAAGGCAGCCGCTCTAGTAGCCATTAATGATAATGAAATGTTTACAGTCGAAACAGACGCTTCGGAATTCGCGTTAGGGGCTACTCTGACTCAACATGGAAGACCAGTAGCCTTTTACTCTCGGACATTAAATAACTCGGAATGCAAACAATCCTCAATCGAAAAAGAGGCTTGTGCGATAGTAGAGAGCCTAAAGAAATGGAGACACTACCTGATCGGCAGACATTTTCTTCTTATAACTGACCAACAATCGGTTGCCTTCATGTTCAATCAAAATCATAACAGTAAAATAAAAAATGAGAAGATCCAACGTTGGCGATTAGAACTATCTTGCTTCAAATACGATATAGTTTATAGACCAGGCACTGAAAACGCTGCTGCGGACGCTCTATCTCGCGTATGCGCTTACATGAATATAAACAAGTTGAAAGAACTACATAACGCACTCTGCCACCCGGTAGTAACTAGAATGTATCACTGGGTAAGATCTAAAAACTTGCCTTACTCGGCTAATGATGTGAAGGAGGTGACCGCCTCGTGCCCTACCTGCGCCGAAATAAAACCGAGGTTTCTAAAGGTCAAGGGTCAATTGATAAAAGCTACGTCGCCGTTTGAACGGATCAACATAGATTTTAAAGGACCACTACCATCTAAAACAGCCAACAAGTATATACTTACAATTATTGATGAGTACAGTCGGTTTCCTTTTGCTTACCCATGTAAGGATATGACCTCAGCCACCGTCATTACTTGCCTGAAAGATCTTTTTCTAACATTTGGCCAACCTCTCTACATTCATAGTGATAGAGGGTCGTCATTCATGTCCGAAGAGTTCAAATCATTTCTACGACAATCAAATATAGCCTCGTCCAGAACGACGCCCTATAACCCCCAGGGTAATGGCCAAGTGGAGCGACTAAACGGAACGCTCTGGCGAACTATTCAACTCAGCCTTCGGTTAAAGGGATTATCGGTGGAAAATTGGGAAGTGGTTCTGAAGGACGCATTGCATTGTGTCCGCTCCCTCCTGTGTACGGCAACAAACGCTACTCCGCACGAAAAACTTTTTACATACCCGAGAAGATCCCCGAACGGAGATCCACTGCCATCTTGGCTCACGCCGGGACCAATCTTAGTTAAGAAGAACGTCCGTTCTTCAAACACGGACCCTCTTGTCGAGGAAGCCGAGCTCTTAGAGACCAATCCCTACTACTCTCTCATAAGACGGGATAATGGAGAAACCTCAACGGTATCAAACCGTCAATTAGCTCCTTTCCCCAGTATCATTGATAATAGCAGCGACGATAACTTTGAAATGGCCTCCGAAGATGATAATCTCAGGTTTCCATCTGAAAATAACTCCACACCTCCACCTGAAAATATCGCTCCTTCGTCACCGCCTCGTATAGGAGAGCCGTCGACGACTTCGCCAGTTCTTCGGACTGGACTCCCCAGGAGATCTAATAGGACGCGAAAATTACCCTCCTACCTAGCGGACTTTGTGGTTGATGGGAGTGAGAGTGAAAACTGAACCGGGGGAGAATGAGGTGATATGCGACCTCCGCGCCATGTATACGATCTCCGTAGTGTTGTTAAAACCAAACGTGTCAACTGTCATACTTTGTTATTTATTAATATTAATTTAGTCATTACATTTGTCTAATGGAATTCTTTCAGTTAAATAAAACCAATATTCCTCTTGGTTTCTCGTTTATTTCGCCACAGTGAGGAACAGAGAAAACTGAAAAATGACTGTTTTGTATACTCTTTAGTTGATATTTTATGTATATATTTTACCCAAACTTTTAGGATGATACATGTGAGTGTGATAACCCGGCAGAAGATGACGGAACATGTAAATGTTGCGCTTGTCCTTTGGACCAGTGCAAGTGCGATAGAATAGGGAAAGAAGTTTTTGATGAGTGAGTTCTAATATTATTATAGTTCTAAAATCCTCAAAACTTAAATTTATATACAAACATAATTGCAAATTATAGCTAATAGCCATCTATACGTATAATAAAATTGTAACTAAGTTGAATCTGTACATTGAATATTTTTTGGAAAATCTAATTGAAATAGACATTATTATCGATACAGAGTCCGAATCTATAATTTTTAGAATTTTTTTCTGTGTGTCTGTCTGTTACCGCATCACGAGAAAACCACTGGACAGATTTTCATGAAATTTGGTATGATGGTAGCTGGTTATATGGGTCAACATATAGGATACATTTTACCGCGGTAAAATATCTCATTTCTGAGAAAAAATACAAAAACTGCATTTTAAGAGTATACTAATATGTAAAACCTAAGAATTTGGTTTTTGGTCATCTGAACGCGGGCGGAGCCGCGGGCAATGCTAGTATTATATTTATTTAAAATATTGTCCAAAATAGCAAATGTATAAAATATATACCTAGTAAAAGTAAAACACAGTTTTTTTGGAAAGTGGTTTTTTTTCCATTTTATTGCCTAAACACATTAAAATTAATTCAAATTACCTTGTAAAAAGAATAAATAAAAATATGTACGCCAATTCCATTTTTTTTAAGTTGGAGAAGTAAACGAGAACTCGGCGCTATGCCCGCAGTCCTGGAGTCCACACACCCTCTGATGAAGCGCTTCCAGGATACGCTGAAAAGGTTTTTAGAAAAAGAAAATGCTATTGCCGAAGAGGAGATTATTAGATTGGTAGCTATGTATTGCTGGATTTCTTAACTAAAGTTCCCAGAAAAATGTTTTTTTTTTTTATGAGGAACTATTTATTTAAGTGTTTATTTGAGAATCTTACTAGTTATTAATATGTACGTACTTAATTAACTCTTTTATTTATGAACTAGCGGGATGAACTGAAGCTGAGCAAGCAGGCGTACGATAAAGATCTGGAATCTATTTATAGAAGCGATCACGATACAAATGCACAAAGGGTAAGTTGTGAAAATTTACCTATGTCTCTTGTATCAGAAAATCAAATTTAAATGAAATATTAAATAGTACTAAAATATTATCAATTTACAAAAGGCGCTAATAGAGAAGTATGAAGCTACATTAGCAAAAAAGACAGCAGATCGTCAGGCAGCTGAAGCACGCGCTCGGGAGTCCAACGAAAAGTACAAGCGTTCCAAGGAAAAATTAGAAGAAACCATAATGACTGGTAAATATGGTGGAAGTTATCTGATGTTATAAGCAACCATATAGATATGTCAATAAAGTTTGATTCAAAAAATTCATATGTACGTATTTTTATTCGTTTTTCACATTAAAATTTAATTACTATTCTAGAACGAGAAGCAACCGAGGAGCTAGAAGCATTAACAACACTCTGCAGGCAGCTGGAGGTATGGCGCGACGAGACTGAGTCAGACCTCACAGTCAGTCAGCGCATATCGGACAAAATGCGTATTGAAAAGAAGGCACTCGCAGATGAAAAGAGACAGCTTGTAGGTTCAATTATAATAAACTAGCATTGCCCGCGGCTCCGCCCGCGTTCAGATGACCAAAAACTAAATTCTTAGGTGTTACATATTAGTATACTCTTACATTGCAGTTTTTGTATTTTTCCTCAGAAATAAGATATTTTCCCGCGGTAAAAAGTATCCTAGGATCGCGCGCTACATCGCCCGGTTTATATAGCTTGAGCAGGCGGTCGAGCGATGCGGGGCAGAGGGGATGGACTCGCCGTAGGCATCTCAATGCTCGCCAAGCATTAAAAATGTTTCGCTACTAATTACTTCTAACAACGATATCTCAAAAACTATTCATCTGATTGATTTAGTGTAAAGAGCAATTTTAATCTGCATTAAATGACTAAGCTAACTAAAATATTCATTTGGATAAGGATTAATACCGAACTAAAGAAAATAACTTTGAAAATAACGTAATGTTTTTAATTAAAAATGTTAACATAAAAGTGGTTATTGTAAGTCAACCGTAAGAGATAGAGATATGCTATCGCGGACTTTTTTGTAGCATTTTTATAGATTTTGAATTCTCTAGTACATTACTTAACTGTATCTTTGCTAGTTTACGCGGCGTTCGCGTGGAAAGTTCCCATTTGGCGAGATTTTTTGCGACCTCTTCAACATTTGTCGCCGTATTTCAGCTAATTTACATAAAAGCATAATAAATTATATACCTAAACCTTCCTCAAGAATTACTCTTTCTATTGTTGAAAACCGTATAAAAATCCGTTCAGTAGTTTTCGAGTTTATCGCGTACAGACAGACAGGAGGACAGACAGGAGGACAGAAAGACGCGGCCGGGGGACTTATTTTTATAATAAGTATAGATATATATATATATATATATATATATATATATATATATATATATATATATATAATTTAGGAGTGAGAGATTTTATGTTAATGAATTTATTCAAATATTATTTTTAGGATATGATCATCTACAGTCTTGGAAATGAAGTGTGGAAACTCGAATCAAAGTTGGAAATGTTCCAAAAGCAATTGGAAGTTAAAAATGTTGAAATGGAAACAGTTAATGACAAGGTAAAATATATTTTAACAAAAGTGAAGTCTAATTTAACATGTATATTATTTATCAAATCTTATTCCTCCGAAGTAAAAAGTCAAACTATTGGCATAAAAGTGAATAATGATAATTTAAATGCTCAGGTAACGGCGTATGCGGCTGAACTAGAAGATTTGGAGTTGGAGAAGCGACGTCTTGTGAGTCTTTGGAATTCAGTGCTAGTGAACATACAGCAAAGAGACAAAGTTTATGATTCGGTCAGAGATGATTACAAGTAAGCAAGATTGTTTAATTATTATCGTCAATGGTATAATTAAATATTTTAATACGAGGTATAACGAGAGAGATTGACGACACGTTTGGCTCAGTGTGTAGTGGCCCTAGTTTCTGTGCCGGCGGTCGCGGGTTCGAGTCCCGCTGGGGGCATTCATTTGTGTGATGACGAAAGTTTGTACTCCAGTCATGGGTGTTTATATTTATAATATGTATGTATTTAAACTTTATATACGTGTAGTGTATCAACTATCTGGTATCCATAACACAAGTCTCGTAGCTTACCATGGAACTAGATGGTGCTGTGTGTTAATGTCCCAATGTATTTATTTATTTAACTATTTTGCTGAAATAATAATTGACTTTTTGCGTTATGTGTGTCATTATAGAGCTCTGCAAGAAAATTATCGCACTCTAATCAACAATTTAGAAATCACAAAGAAAGTTGCGATGGAAGAGATGAATAAAGGAAAGGAAATATCTATGAATAAGGACAAGCTGATATACGATATTGCTAACGCTACTAAATTATGTAAGTTGGTCATTGTAAGTTCTATATTGAGATACTTATTGCACGTACTTTTAACTATTTTATCATCAATCTTTTATATTGCTTATTAAAATTTATTCTAATTATATGTCTGATTATGTAATTTTTTATATTTCAACTTTATTTAATAACTTATAATTATTTTTTAATTTTAAACTAGCATCTAGTAATTAAATGTTATTGACGTGATTTAAAAAAAAGAGCATGTTGGGATAACCTATAACCAAAAGAACATTTATGAAATTGTCAGCACATGAATATCTTATCGTTTTTAATGTATCTTTTGTTGGTTGTCCCTTAATAAATAAGTAAAATATTTTCCGCTGGCGTCCGGGAGATTGTTACTCTACATGGTATTCTTTACAAAGAATGGTTTTAGAATAGATTAAATATTTATTTTGAGAATTAATAGTAAGGATTTAAAATTTAGTTGATGCAGAAGATGCTAAGCGCATAGCCCTTGAAGCCCAACTTTCAGAGTTAACTGAATCTATTGAAATGACTGAAAGGGACGAAGAACTTATAAAGTCGGTAAGACAATTCGATTTAATTTGACACTGGACTATATGTATAGCAGTTACATAAAATTCAACTAAAGTCATTAATATTTTTTAGGAAAACCAAACAATGAGGAATATTTTAAAAAGCACAGAGAAAGAGATCGACCGTCGCACAGAACACAAGTTGAAATTGGAAAATGAAATCCTTACCAATCTTCAAGAGTGCTTACTTAATGACAAAGCCGTTGAGTCGATGGCTAATGGCATCAAGAAAATGAGAGAAATGTCTAGGAAACAAGTAAGATTTTTCAAGTGGTTTAAAAACTTGATTATCTTTCCTTAAATTTTATAAATACATAAGTAAAATTGTTGGTTTATTTTTCTTTAATGTAGTAATGGAGCAACAGATCTACGTAACCTTCTGATACGGTAATTTACGGGTTTGGATTTATCCAAAAATTTGACGGGTATTAAGTTATACTCTTGAGATAATATACGTAATAGACTACAGGATTTTTAATAATCGATTTCGCTAAAATAAATTGTGACTATTTGGGGCAACGTAATATTTTATTAGAGATTTTATTTTTTTATTAGCATAGATATATGTATGAGGTTGTAGAATAACATCTTGTCTAATCCGGTTGTTGCCAAAATTTATATTTGGATAACCACAATTTTATGTATCAAATGTAATAAAAACTAATAATTATGGTTTTATACAGGAAATAGCACTAATGACGATGGAGAATCAACATGCAAAGTTGATGCTAGATATAGAAGTGCACCGCAATCGTCAGGCGAGGAACAACGCAATCTTACAAGAGAACCTCGCGAGAGTGCGCGAGAGAGAGCAAGAGATAGAGCAGCTGCAAGAAGAGTACGAGCAGAAGATGCTCGTGATAACCAGGAAACAGCGAGAATTGGATATTGTGATTAAGAAGTATAACGCCTTGAAGGAAATATTTGATGTAAGTGTTTTGGCTACGTGAGGTATGACTAAATAATCCTAAGTAACACTAATAATGCGATGAATGAATGTGTTTTTAGATTGATTTTTTTGTATGTTTGTTCTTGTTTAACTAAACAATACGGTTATAAAATAGTCTACAGTTCTAGCAGTTTTATTATTTTTATTAATTACGTGATCTATTAACATGGTAGATGAAGTCACCCCAAGAGCGTCGTATAGAGGAACTAGAACAGCAGATCAAAGGGCTGCGCGAGCGCACGGAGAGCATGCAGTGCGAGTGGCTGCGGCTGCAGGGTCACGTGGTCAAGCTCACCGCGCACCATCAGAAGATTGTTTCAGACATCAACTTGATCAATAAACGTTAGCTTTATGTATATTACTTTCTTATATTTATGCGAATATTTATAATTTTCCCTGTATGTCATTATCTCTGTACCTATTAGTTTAGGTTTTCCTATCGTTAATTATAATGTGCATCAATCTAAAGTGTATCTGTGTTAAAAAGTACGTACTGTTTTAATACATTACTTTATAAAAATCATATATTAAATTAATCAAAATGCTTGATTGCTTACATTTGTAAGTACATATTTGGAAATAAAACTATCTTTTCGGATTATTTCGCGGATTTATTTAGATTTTTGGTTCCCGATGTTTCGAATGCTTTACAGCATCCATGGTTACCGAAGAGACTCACAGTCTCTCCCGTGACCATGGATGCTGTAAAGCATTCGAAACGTCGGGAACCAAAAATCAAAATAAATCCGCGAAATAATCCGAAAAGATAGTTTTATTTAAAAATGCCAAACATTCGCGTAAATCTAAGAAAGTATTACATATTTGGAGTTTAAAGATTCAATAAAATGACGAGATTTCTTATAACAATTTTACCTAACGATTTCAGAAATACAAATTTGTGAGCAGAAAACAATGAGGATTCAAGCGGAATCAGAGCGAGTGCAATCAGAGTGTGCTAAAGTAGACCGCAGCCTGCGCGACCTTCGCGGCCGCCTCGAGGTGCTCGAGCGGACCCGCAAAGAGGCAGTGGACAGAAATACTAATGCACAGAAAGCTAATCTCGCTATAACCCACGAGTACGCTGCTAATCTTAAGGTTAGGTTTTTATTAAATACTTATCATTCATACTTATTAAGATTTATAAGTTTGGGAATGTTACACATACCATATGTAGATATAAAAAAATGTGTCTTTATTTCACGTGACAGAGTAATTCTCTTTTCTTACTAAGTGACAGTTTATAAGCCAGCGGGCGAGCCACTAGACAGTAGGAACGTTTTATCCCGATATCTATATATCTATGCGAAAAGTTACTATGAATATGCCGATCGTATGTAGTACAGTGTCAAGGCGAAGTACTTAACTTTACAAAAGTTTTATATATTTTAATATATATAATTATCTTAGGACGCTGAAATGGAGATAATTCAGATAGAGGAAGAAATTGAGGCGTATGAGAAGGAGAAGATGAACCTTACACAAGATTTAGACCGCGTTCAAAGAGAGGCTCTCATTTGGCAACGAAAGGTATGTAGTACATGTAACATACATACATATTTCCGATTATTGCAAGTACATTCAAAATATAGTCCAAATGTCATATTGCTATTTATGTTTTAGGGTATTTTAGCAGTTGATCTTAAGAAAAATATACAAAACGCAAAATCGGCTGCGGGCGAAATCGGCCAAATGAGGGCCGAAATACACAGGATGGAGGTAATGGTCAAAATTTATTTTCACGGATAAATTACAATATTTTAACATAAATAAAATTTTAATATGTACAATAAATATCACTCGTAAAAAGACTAATTGCGTTTCAATAGCACATTCATAAAAATAGAGAACCATGTTGACTTATAAGTGACTTCTCGGTAAATTACATAATTATTACATTCTTTTAAGGGGCAAATGATCTCTATTAAATCAGAAAACTATTAAAACTAATAGATAAAAAAGTACTATTTCTTCTAATGTAAAGGTCCGTCGCGAACAACTTCGGAAGACGGGAGAGAAGTTAGCCGATGATTTGGCGCTGTACGTAACTCGTAGAGAGACTGCTATGGAGAAGAACAGGGCGGCGGCCGCGGTAGAGAAAGCTCACGGCACCGCACAGACCTCGCAGTCTACCTATCATCATAAGCTTAGATTAGCCAAGGCTGATTTGGCCCGAGCTACCAAGGTAATTTGTTATCCTTAACTCTTAGTAATTCAATTCATTTAACATTATATAATTATTAAGGCGTTGGTAACGCGTGTGCTTAAAAACCAAGTACCTAAAGAGGTTTAAGTCCCGGTCACCTTTATTATTCTCATTTGCGAATCATTTTCAACATGATAATCGATATTACGGTGAAAGAAAACAACACGAGGAAACCGAAAAAATCGGGCAACCCGCGTTTGGTTAGCGTGGTGCACTATGGCTTAATAGCACTAAAAGAGGCCCGTGCACAAGTGGGACGTTCAAAAGGGCTGAAGATAATAAAATGATGAATTCTTATTATACAAATTACTTGTGAATATTTTTGATTTTTTATTTCTCGTTTTTAGCTATTAATGAGATAACACAGGAATGAATTATCTTGCTAATTGCTATCTGGATAAACCACATAGCATTAGCTAGGATTAATATTGCATTGAATATTTTATTTAACATTTTAGCTCTAACTTATCAATAGATGGCGCTATTTGAAAAGAATACTGAAATAAACAGTCTAGATGTCAGTGTTTTATTTCATTTTGTTTAAAAAAAAACCAACCTTAATCATATATAAATTCTGTTAATTTTTATTCGCAATTATACTTATGAAACTATTCCAGGATCTGTCCGAGGCTACATCGCAAATGGAAAACCTGCAAAAGGAATATGAGCGGTTGAAGCGCGAGATATCACAATCGAACGCCGCCAACTCACAGTTAGAAGAAAATATTGCGACGATGCTTCGGGAAAGCAAAGATGCGGAGAAACAAAAACAATGGGTATATTATATTATTATCTATTTTTATTCAAGTAATAAAGTGTAGAGACTGGTCTTAGTAACGAATGCCTATATTAAGTACTAGCGACTCACCCTCGCTTCGTTCAGGTTCGTCGCTAGCTTGCTTCCCAATACAGTTTCATTCCCATTTTAACCCTCCTTAAGGGATGATTTCCGAGATAAAAAGTATCCGTATATGTTCTTCCCAGGGTCTCAAACTATCTTCTTACCAAATTTCATCTAAATTCAAAGTTCAGTAGACCCCTACAAACTCACAAACTTTATCTCTTTATAATATTAGTATAGATATTAACATTTATCTTTTCAGCTCTTGGAACGTTTAGTTCGCAGTCAACGTCTCGGCAGCGAGCTAGCCACTGCTATAAAGAGGCAATCAGTTCGAGTGAGAAAGCCCAAGTCTGTCGTTCTCACAGAGTACAATCAAGCCGTCGCTCTAAACGAGCGTCTAAACCACATAATTGAAACTTTATCAGACGAGTATCCACATTTGCGAGATAAACTTGATGTAATAGTAAACACATTAAATATACATTCCCCAGAGAACTCACCGAGATTAGTTGAAGAATGCGCATGCGATGAAGCGAAAGAAGAGGACCCAAATATACCAGAAAAGCTCGAAAAGACCGATGAGTGATATTTTTTTAATTTGATAAATAAAATACTGTGTAACAATAAAATTAAATTTATTCAAACTTAATAAAATTATTCATTGACGTCCATTTACATTGTACATTTAAGGTTTTTTTTAATAAATGTATGCGTGCCAAAATTACGTTTTCAATTCACCACCACCTACTAACAAGCTTAATAATAGTAAATATTAACAATAAGTTTAAAAGAATTATAAAATATTCAACTCCTTGCAATAATGTAACTATTGCAAATAATTGAGTTTAAATATTGAATTTTACAATTTTGAATTGAATGTTTATATAATTTTCATCTACAAGTAACAAGTTGTACTATTTATTGAACTATAGGGGCCGGCCACATATTATAAAGGTTTTTCTGTCAGAATATATGTCTGACAAATGAATTTAGTTCGCGGCTTCCGCTTGACAACTGCTGCGAATTTCTGATAAGTGTGCGGGGTCCTGTAGATGTAAAAAATGTATAGAGAGCGCGCCCTCCGACGTTTTGATCAGAAAAATTCTAACGTCGGATTGGTGGCATCCGGTATACCTCAAAAGCGGATGTCAGACACGGCAGAATTCTGATAGCACGCGGGGTCTCGACCAAAACATGGGCAGAGTGCCGTCCGGCGGGCGTCAGAAATTTCTGACAGAAAAATCTTATAATATGCGTCCGGCCTAACTATATGCAGAAAGTTCTAAATATAAAAAGCTTTTTAGCAAGTAATATTGATAAAGAATCTCATACATGACCCTTTTAAATATTTTTGACACTAATAATATTAAAAAAGGGACTCACAGAGTCCACTTGTAAAAAATACTTAATTTATTATACTAATTGATAATATCTAACACCAACAATTTAAGTTTTAACATTTAAAGTAATTTGTTTAAAAGTATTCATTATTTACCTATCTAATTTGATATAAAATTGACAATTTAAGTGCTAGCGAGTCTAATAATCGATTTCTTATAAACCTTCTTATGCTCTAAACAAAATGAGGCTAAAATAAATGTAGCAATGTTATGAGAATATAAATAATTTATAAGCATTTTATCTTTATCTTTCATGAAAAAATAAGTTTATTACTAGCGACTTGCCCTTGCTTAGCTTGGCTGCGTCTCTAGATAAGTTTTAACGAAATAAAAATAGTTATTAAGTGTGTACCTTAGGAAATAGACATTGCTGTGGTGTGGTGCTTTTAAGGTTTAGCTATGTAAATGTCTAAGGAAGACTCGAAAGAACCATTTATTATGTTTTCCCATGGAAATGAAAAGTTTTCTTGTAGTAAAAGGTATCCTAAATGTTATCCCGAGGTAAGTTATTACCACATAAAAAGTTAAAATCGATTCAGTACTTTTTGCATGAAATACACATAAATGTACAGACAAACATACATACATACAGACAAAAATGTCAATAACTATTTTTTGGAGTCCAAATCCTGTACATAATATATAACAGCCATTGTTTTACATATAGATTTATGAATCTATTAATCTTAAATTATTATTTACACTCGCTTCGACAATATAGATTCAGATTTAGCATTAATGTCTGATTAAGAGACGAGGTAGTTTGTGCTGGCACGGCCAGAAAATACTATTTTCTCATAGAATATAGTAAAGTAACAGAAATATACTGTTGCATTTTGGAGTTGAGCGAAATCATTTGAGCTTTAACCGTTCGTTTTTTCATCCACTTTTTTATATATATTATATTGGCCTCCTTTCCAGTCTGAATGTATAAAATATGGAGATTTTCACATCTTGATATCAAGGTCATACAGAAGGCTGTAAACCTCTCTGGTGGGCAGTCCTTTCGTGTCTCCTACGATGGTCGGACCGTCCAAAACGCACATCACAAAACTGACACGAGTACCGCTTTTCTTTTGTATGGCTTATCATGTGATTCTTCAAATATCTGTAATTTAAGTTTGATTTATTAATATTGCTTATATTTTGAAATATATTCTTGACGATATAAGATTTGTCTTTGGTATACAGGTGGTCCAAGAGATGACGTCATATTTTTTTTTTAGATTCCTCACATCTGGGTGTATCCAAAAATACCCCATGAATGTTCCGCGATTTTTCGTAGTTTAGAAGTTATGATTTTTTTAATGTGTATTTGAGAGTTTTTCACCGGAACAAATTCGAGGCAAAACTATTTTGTTTTACAAAAAAACAATTTAAAAAAAATGTGTCACAGATCGTTCAATTTGACGTCACCTCTTGGACCACCTGTATAATATATAGTATGTGAAAGTTTGTATTAATTATAGTTTTAGTATGTTCTTATTTTTCTAAATAATAGATTAGGTATAAAATAATTCTAGAATATCATGTAAGTTATTCATTCAATTATCTTACCCAGACCTAGCGAATGTCATACCACAATGTTCGCATGCAAACATCTTAACATCACTATGTATGAGTCGGTGGTTTTTCAATATTGTAGTTGAAGAGAAGCATTTGCCACAGTCGGGACATTCATATGGTTTTTCTTTAGAATGAGTCCTGGAGAAAATTTAATTATATGGTAAAACTCAAGACTTTTGATTTAAAGTATGTAACTTTTTAATTTTTTTTGTCTTTTTTTTTAATGTGAAATGCAATAGCAATACTTCAAAATATACAGAATAAATCTGCCGTCATAATAAAGGCCCTAAATAACAATTTGGTCAAAAATGACTTAAATGCAGATTCAGAATCAGCAAAAAAATGCTACTTGGAAGTCTTACTCATAAAGCTTTAAGTTTTATGTATCTGGAGATACCATAACCATTTTCATCGTAACTAAGTCAAAACTAGTAGTAATTTTGACATAGTAGTAAGACAAAACTACAAATATCTCAAAATCAACTTTGACGAAGTTGCGGCCTTATTTTTTATGACGGCTGAAATATACCTGTATATTTTGTTTATATTAGTACTCTCTGCCCTTACAGCATTACAATGGTCAAATATAAATTTGTAAGATATGAGAGATCATATTAAAGTAAATATCATATTCACCTTATATGTATTTGTAAATGATATTTCTTAAAAAAGCTCTTAGAGCAAAACTGGCATAAATGTGATTTTTCTTTATCATGCACTTGTCTCCTAAAACAAAAATTGCATTTGAATTAAAGATTATTGTATTAAAAAAGCTTTTTTTTATTATATGATTAAATAGTCTTATTATATATCTTACTTATGTGATGCTAAATTCAGTTTACTTTTGAAACATTTATCGCACTGGTCACACTTATGTGGCCTATCCTTTGTGTGTATGAGAATGTGGTGATCCCTTAAAGATTTGGATATAAACCTTTTTCCGCACGGAATACACTCAAAAGGCAGAGGTGCTGTATTATGCATTATCATAGAATGACTGGCGAGGTGCACAACATCTGGAAAAAATATAAAAAAAATATATTAAAAAGAAATTAAAAAAAAAGTGTGTTGTATGTTTAAATATTAATAGATTACCATTAAAAAATAAAACAAGTATGTTTCTTACATATGTATGTGAGGTGTGATTTTTTAAAATTTAAGTATTTTGAAAAATATACAAATATTTTTTTTTATATAATACGAAAATATTTAAAAGCATATAAATCTCACCCTTATTACACAAGTCACAGTGTTGTTTTATCCCCAAATGTTTGATCTTGTAATGTCTTAATCTTGCACTAGGACCTGTGAACATTTTATCGCAAGCCTTACACTTGTACCGTTTTCTTACATTCAAAGGCTGGTGTAAGTACATATGTTGCTTTAAATTCCGAACTGTTTTTCCACATTCATCACAGACTTGTTCACGTCTTTCCATTTCCCTATTTCGCTTCCTCTTCTTAACTTTTTTTTGTTCATCTGATTTGGATACACCTGTGAAATTGTTTCAATTATAAACTAGTTTGTTTTATGGTTAATATAAGGTTTTTAACATTGTTCTTAATAGTATATTATGATAAAGAAAGAATGAGAAAACAACCATTCGCTTTGCTTTTTTTACTAGTTTTTTGTTCTTTTATTTGCTTAATAACACTAAGAAGCTCATCGTCAGACTGTAAATCTTGTGTATTATCCTCTTCTTTAAATTCATATTCTATTTTGAATTCTGTATCACTATCATTTTTGTTCTCGACATAAATATTTGTGTCTTCATTTTTAATTTTTACTGTCAAAAATTGTTCATTTTTTACTTCTTCTTCTTTACTATTTACTATTACTGATTTTAAATATTTGTCGTTTTTTAAAGCTAGTTTTTTGAAATTATAAAATGTTAATATGTTTGAATAACATGTTGAGCATAATTTTGTTGTTAATTTTAAGTCCGATGAAACCTGTAATAATTAATTATGAATATTTATATTAATTTTATAGTAGTATATCAATTATGTAGCCTTCTAAACTGTTCTTACATCGATATCCAAACAAAATAACATGATTTCAGAATAGTTTTGTTTTTCATCTGAATCGGTTGTCAATTGATGTATGTCCTTTTCTACTGCCCCTGTAAGACAAGTTCTACAGACTTGCATGGTTCTTTAATTATTAAATATAAAACAAAAATATTTAAACCAAAGTACAAGCAAGTAATTTTGTATACACTTTTTGACACTTATAAGTGTGACATTTCATATTTGACAGTTGACATAATATCACATATCGCACACAGATTATAAAAAGATATATTATTTTTATTAATTGAAAGTTTATTTAAAAAATGTGATAGTAAATATAACTTAATATTTAAGTCTTAACTAGAAACTACCTTCGCTTCGCTCCGGTTCCTTTTTAATTAACTAATAAGCTACGGTCCGTGATATTTGTTCAGTCTATCTGTTACATTTCATCCAAATTCGTTTCCGTGGAAAGAAGTAACAAACATACAGACACACATTTTTGCATTTATAATACTACTTTTCAAATTGACGATTTTTAATTTTTATTTTAGTACTCCAATTAAATCCTTCACGTCGAATAAAGTTGCAGATTTTACTAATAGTCATATAATTTCGGAGTTAGAACTTAGACAAAATATTAATTAAAGCCACTTTAAAATATCATATATCTTAATACATGATCTTAATATTTTGTTTTTAATAAATAATCTTTACAAAATACTTACATTTTTGGACTAAGCCAACCAGACGTCATATTAAAAAAATGAACAATGATTAAATTTGTTATAAAAAAATGTTTTATAAAATATAAATACATAATAGCAGCGTTTTACCTACCAATAAAACGCATATTAATTTACTTACCTTATTCGAAGCTTACGTATTGAGATAGGCATTACCGTTTCCGCCGTTTATATATCTATCCTTGTCTATCCGTCTACTGTCTCGCTCTCTATCGCACCACCTGGCAGGAGAGTGGGGATCGGTGTGAACGATTCCCACTCTTAAAATTATTTCTTCATTGAGTCGAGATACACCAGGCAGTTATTCAAAGTTAAGCTTCGAATAAGGTAAGTAAATTAATATGCGTTTTATTGGTAGGTAAAACGCTGCTATTAATTTGACTTGACCGTTATTCGAAGCTTACGTATTGAGACTTGTTTGTTATCGCCTGGTGGTGCAAGCGTAGGAGACGGACGCCAATGTGATGAAATAAACTCTGCTGTATGTAACTGAAACACTGAGATGAGATTTATACTAAGACCAAAATAAACACTTAATGCAGTGCTTTTCCAAAGTCCTTTTACAAATAAAAAATAAATTATATTGTAGATAACACAACTCAACAAGGTATTAATACAACATGGGAGACATCTCCCTGGCCGATTACGGCCTCGGTCGCCAATGTTTCAGAAACCATCTGCCCTCGAGATGTTATGGTTTAAAAGTGTGTTCACTTAACATGACCAAGTTTATTCTTACTTACGCTCTCCCAGTCCAGTGATCAGGCCCGAAGCCGAGACCCTAGACCGTTAGACCTTCAGAAAAACTAATATCTAACATTACTATGCGCGACCCGATACTCGAACAATAATTTCAATAACTAACATTAACAATTAATGCGTTTTAAAATTCCAATTTTAGTTAATAATAAATTAATAAATTCTTCTGAAAACACACACATTAGTTGACTTTCAATTCCTCTTCATTATTAATAAATAGTGCGCCCCATTTTATACCATTTCTTTAATAACTCTGAAGCCCATTGGTTTGGGAAACCAACTCTTTACGTATATAAAAAATAAATAAATCAAATGTAACAACGCTTAAGACTTGATAATGGCTTTGGAAGTGCCTATATTTATAGATAGAGAGATACCTCAAGAGATGAGATGATAACTATGGTAGGGAAAGGTCGACTTCGCACGATACTAACATATGTTGTAGGTAAATAACAATAATAATAGGCTAGTAATAATACTAGGCTGTAAAAAAAATAACAAGACAGATCTAGTTTCAGAAAGCTCAGCTAAACGAGTCATTGTTTCGTCAAAATGACTCGCATTCAAATTAAAAATTCTAATAATATTATTTAATTTTAGAATAATAATTTCTTAGATTTACACGAATATTTGACAATCCGAAAAGATAAATATTTAATTTAGAATAATTACAACGCCTAACGTAAATCCTTTCCATAAGTGTGCCAAAAATACCATAACGGAAATATACTGTTAAAAATGTTCGCATACACATTGGTGTAAAATTTATGATTTTTTAACAATGACATACGTATACGTACGTACGTACGTTTAACCTCGACGATAAATTTATGATTTACGTAGAAGAAGCTACGTATGATGTACACAGATGCACATCACAGGATATTTCCACATATGACAATAAATTGAGAACACTTCTTAGGCACGAGTACTATTATATAAATTTTAAAACAATGTCACTTATAAAACCAAGACTCGTCAAATATACGCCATAACTTTTATATAGTAGAAGTCGGTCATTTGGTAAAATCCATAACCAAACAATGGACATTAAATTATCTTGTTAGTGGCTACAAAAACGTGTCACTTAAGCAAAGATTACTTGCCAATGTCACGCAAAATTAAGGATAATTTTTATAATGTATTACGTACCTCTCTCAATTTGTGCCTATAATTCATATTTTTCAGAACTACCCTAGCTGTCAGACTGGGGTTTCATAATAATATGTCAAAAACTTACAATTTTATACGTTTATATATATAAAATACGTCATTTCCGTTGTAGTTTATAAATGTGATCCAAAATTAAGGATAAATTTTCACTATAATGTGCTACATTTCAAGCCTTCCTTGAGAAAATGTCATTTTCTTAATATATTAGTAGTAGTATTTGCCAATGTTATATTTTAAGTTATATTCCATGCTTAACGTTGAGTCTTATCGTTCTTGGAACTTTCAATACTATTATTATTATTGAAAATTCTCAACGCCGTAGCTTACCAACATGTAATGTTTGTATGATTTCTTAGGCTTTTTAAGGCTTAATTTGCAACAAAGACGACCTGTCGTTACAAGCACAGCAGGAACGCCTAAAATAGCAATTGCCCCTGATGCCCCGAGTAGGAATATCAGTTTAATATGAAATACATTACGTTACATTTAATCAACGTAATTCAGAAAGGCCCGTAACGTATGCACTTCGTAAAGGTACACTGTTGTTTCTTCTAATAATTTGCCTTGGCCAAAACCAATTGGATTCGGCTGTTCGACCACTGGAATAGAATATTATACTTTTTAACGTGTTCAGCAAGTCTTAATGACTCGCTGCTGGGCACAGGCCTCCCTTCATAAGAGGGGGATCAGGCCATTGGCCACTACCCTTGCCCAGTGCGGGTTAGAAATTTGATAAATGGATATACGATATCCATATGTTCAAAAAATAATAATAATATGTATAATATTTCTTATAATGCTCAAAAGCCAACTCATTCACAGGTTTGGAGTTTATATATTACATACATACCTAAATTTATATCTTTTAAATCCGACTTGTATCTTCATAAAAGTGAACCAATCTTATTGAGACGATGCCTTCCCATACAATTATACGCATTAAACTATATCATGTAAGTGACCATTCAACGCATAGCTTAAATTTTATGCTATACATATCAAACTCCAATTGAGATCACAACTGCACATTAAGCTCACTGCTATTTTCTCCTGATGTTTTACTGTTTCATTGTCATTTAGACAAGAATCAACAATCTGTAGAGATTGATCTGTGAAACGAGTATATTGTCAATCCCGCGAGGATTTATATTCATATTAAGCTCACTGCCATTTTCTCTTGTAGAAAATTAATATGTGACTCACATTTGGACACAAATCAAAAATCTGTAGAGATTGTTTTATGGAACAAGTATATCGTCAATCCCGCGAGGATTTATATTCATATTAAACTCACTGCCATTTTCTCTTGGAGAAAATTAATATGTGACTCACACTCTGACAAGAATCAAAAAATCTGTAGAAATTGTTTTGTGGAACAAGTATATTGTCAATCCCGCGAGGATTTATATTCATATTAAGCTCACTGAACGGGGCTTACATTCAACATTTGTGATTATGATATTAATATCACAGCTAGATGAAAATCTCAGCGTTAAGGTCTCCATAGATCCTCCTCCAATGTGCTTATATGCTTATCTTGTCGTGGTGGAGGGATCATTAACGTCCGGCAATCCTGCGACGCCCCTTTAAGACCGGGTAGGTTCGGTTTGATTTTAGTGAGTAATACAGGCTTTGCCGATGAGTCTCACATAACCACCTGTATGTATTTGCATGTAGGTAGTATGCGTAAATGTATAACGGTCACCTTTGATACTCCTTAGGTACCCACATAACTAATAACCCTGCGAGGGTTAACCATTTTACGTACTCCTGCGGGGAGACGTTTTATTTATAAAATACAGCTCATAGGACCTCTTCAAGGCAATTAAGATTTGTATTTAGTCTAATAACAATATACACATGTACCATGGCAGTGTTATGAAAAATAATTAATGTCCTTATGTTGTCTCATGTTGATACTCGTGTTGACATCTTAACTGCATTTTTGCTCTGAACTGAAATAAAGCTTATAAACTATCGTATTGTCTGCTGAAAATGAATATGAAAATAAAATATATGAAATTGTGAACTACACCAGTAGGCTCTTCCTTTTTCCGAAAGCATTTTCACGCTTCATATCACGTACTTACATATATACTACAACTGTAATAACTTTATTTGTTTACAGTGCTGAAATGATTTCTCAATCCAATAGATATTCCATTACTCTATGTCAATGTCAATTATCCATGAACCACAAGAATATGTAGGTATATAATTACATAGTTATATAAAAATGACATTTAAATATGTATTTAATTTCAAGACTCACTTTAAAAATGTACTTGTTTATACCCTCAAATTGCTTACGCCATTTGAACAATGTATAATTATTGCATACTCACGCGAACTGTACAGCTATTGTTTCGTTATATTTCTGTCGGAACATGCTCCAAATGCGAGTTACTGGCATCATCGGATGTCTCCACATGCCCTTTTCGTGTTGCTCCCTCTCTTTTGCAACACTGCGTATTTTATGTAAAAGTTACCTATATATTAATATGTGTCCTGCGCTTCGCCGTTTATGTTCCTTAAATAGGCCAAATGTTGGCTTCAACCCCTATATTCTAAAAGTAAACAGTTAGTAAGCAAAGCACTGCAAGGTAACTGATTAAAATGTAGGAATTATACCATTGTATAATCTATGTAGTCAATAGTAAAACAAGATTTATAAGCTAAATTGAATTACGTAGTGCCAATATACTTTACCATGGTGTTAATTTATATTAATTTGAATTATCATGGCATGAAATAGGCAGGGAGATCATGATGGTATTAATTTAAAAATTGCAGTTAATGTAAAAACATTTTTAAACATTTTAACAGTTATTTAACATAACATGCATTAAATTTCTAATTCTCAAATACTATTAAGTATTTGTTACTCGTTTTATTTTGTGCTAAACAAATGTCTAGAAAAATGATGATAATAAATAAGGTAAATGTACTTACATGGTGTGAATCGTTACCTTTTAAAATTTTTGTTGGCGATTACCTCAAAAACTTACATAGAAACGTCTTCCTATAATGCTACGAGTTACTTGTATAGTCGGTGCGAGCCCAAGCCAGCACGACTGCACTCGGCGGAAAACAAGACGCCAATGTAGAAATAATTTTAAGAGTGGGAATCGTTCACACCGATCCCCACTCTCCTGCCAGGTGGTGCGATAGAGAGCGAGACAGTAGACGGATAGACAAGGATAGATATATAAACGGCGGAAACGGTAATGCCTATCTCAATACGTAAGCTTCGAATAACGGTCAAGTCAAATTAATACTTAATATTTTCAGTGTAGCAATTTTTGGTTAATTAATGTTGCTTACGTTGAAAAAGGATTTACATGTATGTAAGAGTTTTCTATCCAGGTTGACTAAATAAGTGTATGGTGGTCGTTAGTAGGATATAAATAAGAGACAAATATTATTCGTAGCATTTATTTTCATGTAAGAATATTGGATACAAATTGCAAATTTTCGTATCAAATTTAAAAATACCACAATAGCATGGAGTAAGTTGTACAGTAAATAAAACAAAGCAATCTGGACGTTTCACTGGACTTCCACACTTGTAAAATAGGGACTAAATTAATAAGCTTTTCTTTAAAGAGAAGAATAGGCAGGCACAGTTTAACTTATGTCTAAAATAAAATCGTAATTTCTAAATTAATCAATTCGCTCGTATTACTAAAATTGTGATGTTTTGCACAAAAACATGCAAAATGTTGCCATCGAATATTGCTAAAAGTATAATTATGTACATACAAGTATAAGTATGAAATATGACAAGGCTTATTGAAGTCTTAGAGCTGCCATTCGGTTTAAATGTTTAAAATGCGTGGATATTACCTTAACTTTATTTGCATATTATATATTAAATAAAATAAAAAAGAAACAACAGCTTAGTATTGCATAACACACACTCGTTCTTATAATTTATTAAATTATTTACTGAATATACAATACAATATGAAAAAATGATATAGAAGTTAAAACGTGTATTATTTATTTATTTATTAAAATTGTCTTCACTGTTGCGAAGAGACGCCATGTATAATTCTAATACCTAACTACAATAACAAATCTACATCGAATTTGTTGTCAAAAAATTTAATACTAATTACCTAAATAAAATTCTCATCAATAAAAAAAATAAATAGGCACATCACATTCACTTCGAATGTTTGAAAGAAATTCAGCTTATGCTAAGTTGTCAAAATATTTTCCATTTTACTTATTAATCAACAAACCACAATTTAATTGCAGTGTTGCTAGTTAAAAAAATGTTATGGCTTCCGTTTTGTACTAAAATAAACTTGGGTTGGTAAAAAACATAACTTTGTAAAAAAATTTAAGTACAGATTGTAATTTGCACAATTAAATTTGTAATTTATAAAAACGTTTACTCGTCCAAAACTAAAAACTACTATCCTTTATAAAATGCATTTTATTATTACTTACACATAATTAGCTAAAGATATGGATTAAATGTACAAAAGTAATAAATTGCTCCTAGTTGTTATATTACGAGTGAGACGAATAACATGAATAAGTAGAACTATGTAGTAGGTTTTGTGATATATGAAATACTATGATTATAATAACGAAGGCAGTACTAGCGGTCTAGATGCTAAAAGAACATTTTTAAGGTTCTTTTTAATTTTTAAAAGGCCGATGAGAAATGATCGGTGGACAATTTGACCTGATAGTGGTTAAACATCTTGGTAATTCGAGGAGTCACATGACATTTATATGGCAATTCCGAATTATAACGTCTCAACAATCAATGACGTTAGCAAGTGGAAATTACATAATTGTAAGTTCATAAACACGACAAGTCCGTCGAAATATTGAACACAATATATAAATTCGTATCTGGCAACCACCGAAATGTCCATTCGAACTTTAGTAAGTTCGTGACTTTGGCGTGTCGCATCTAACTGTTATGAACAAACAATATGACTCCTCTTCTATCCTATTCGACAATTGAGGTTAAATTTGAATATTTTAGGATCATAAAAGATTTCGATATTTTGTGTCAGATTTAAAGCTAGCTTCCAAATCAATGGTAGAGTATGGAGTAGAGACGGTAGAGTTAGGAGTCGGCGGCCGGCACAGCGGTGGGCGTGGGCGTGGGCACTGATATGTGCGAGCGCTGGCGGTCAAACATCTCCAGGATCAGCTTGGGGTCGGTGCCGGCCGGCACCGTCACCGTGCCCGTCTGTAATGGCGCCTCATGAGTACCACCGCACGCTCTTCTCCGACACGCGTGACGCCCGCGAGTGTCCCGCGTCTACTGGCTCATCTGTGCGTTTTGGCATTGTAACATTTCTATTTCTTTCTCTTTCTTACGTTCAGGAGAGAGAGAAACAGACAGTGGTTTAAGTCACTGATGCTTTTAGTCTTCGACAAGGACACGAGCGGACGTCACAACATTGCGAGTTTTATTTTTTGTTAGAGCACTTTAGATTAGTTTAAAAAAAGGTTTCCTTTAATATGTTAGTATTATTAAAATTGAAGTTTTTAAAATATCTAGGGGATAAAGCTTAGGATTTTAAATAATAAAAGGAGCATGCTTAAAATTTTACGCTTAATGTATATGATAGAAATATTAAAGCAAAGTGTGGGATACCTCGATGCGAGTGATGACTCCTTCCTCGCGACTGTGTTCTAGGACTACAAACAAAAACACAAAGCGCCCGTCAAACATACAAACGAACGGACATTTAACAAAAACATATATACGGTGTACGAAGCGAGGTAAAGTATGCGTAAATTAGCTTAATAGATTTATCTTAATAATATGAGGTATATTTTTTTTAAGGTATTCGATTAAAATTTAATTATATCAAATGTGACTGGTCAAATTTTTATAAGATTTCATATGTGTAAAATTATTTTAGTGTATAACTTAAATAAAACTTATTAAAAAATAAGTGAGATTATGCATAAAGCATATAAAGCTGTACAAATCTCACTCATACTATATTATATACTTGTATAATATAAGCATATTTCTTAAAATAATTGCATCCATGCATGGTATTGTATTGAAATATTATGGGATTTAAATGCACTATTCATTCTTGCACTAAAGCTACTTACATATGATTTCTATTTCATGTATGGGTCATATAATAGATGCTTGAGAATTTAGCAAAGTATAAGATGAAAATCATTTCAGAAGTTTTTTCTAAAACAACAACCCAATTCTAATGAAACTGTACAGAAATATTATTGAAACGGTACGGATAAAATCTGTGAAATTCTATAAGTTTATTATCAGTGCAAATTAAACTGGATTAAATGTAATGAACAAAACTTGATTAAAAAAAAGTAATATTAGGTCATATTAATAACAGGTCTTACTATTTTCCGCTGTAGAATTAGTAGTAGTGGTGGTGGTTGTGGTGGTGACGCCGTCCACGCTCGCCTCGCCCACGGCGGTGCGCGTCGTCGTCTTCACCACCATCGAGCTCGTGTTCACTTGCGAATTCTGGTTCAATCATATGTACTCATTAAATAAACCCTTTTAGGGCCGACCCACACTGTAGTGCCGATCACAGTCCGTTCTCGGTCTGGTAAAGTATTTCTATATTCTATACAAGAAACGTTGCTGGAGCGTGATTAGCCCAGAATATGAGTCTTACTGCTAGTGTGAATGCACTCATAGTTTCTTATATAACAATACTTAACCGGGCCGATATCGGACCGAGAGCGGACCGTGATCGACACTATAGTGTGGAGCGGCCCTTAACGTCCCACTGCTGGGCGTGGGTCAATTAAATGCGAGGGAGATCGTATTTATTACTAGACTAGCAACTAGCGTCCCTAATGATCCTAATACCCAAATGATCGAATCCACCCTTCGTGATTATTTAATACTAGCGGCTCACCCTCGCTCCGCTCAGATTTGCCTCTAAAAAAACAAAAAGAAATCTATCCCACGAGAACCGTACCTTTTTCCGGGATAAAAAGTAGTTTGTGTGTTATTCTGATGTATGAGTTATATATTGTAAAGTTTCATCCAAATCCATTAAGTAGTTTTTGCGTGAAAGACTCACAAAATTTTAACATTTATAATATTAGTATAGATTTTAAAATAACACAATGGTATTGAATGAAACTGATGACATGACAAAATAATCGTATAAATATATCTCATCCCAAAAAATGTCAAGTCAATAAGAGAAGCAAATATAATCATTCCCACATCTCACATCACTTTCGATTCACTAATAAAACATGTACACACCTGTAAATTAATATTAAGCTCTGGCGCTTCAGCGTGGTGGTCGCGCACCGAGTCCACGGTGATGTCGCCCGACGCCGCCGTCACGTCGTGCACTGCTTCCGACGTCGCCGGCTCCTCCTGCAATGATAGTCACTACTAAATACTGTAAATACATTTATCTCGGGAATTCTAACTATTAAATCTATTTAAAACGCAAGGCGCCTTATGATAGACTGCTGTAAGCAAAATTATTAAAAATTACAGCTTTTGAAGTGAAACTTCTTTAGAATCGTTGTGATTTGAAATTCGATGAAACGAAAATGCGACACTAAAAAGAGACAAAACACATAAATATATAAGATTAAACCGGCGAGAGACTGAGATAGAATACATTGCCATGTTGCCATGGTAACCGTTGTTATTGTCTGACAAATATAATATAATATTCCTTCCGTATATGATATTCTATAAATATATGATTGTAATATGCATTATTTAATTATTGATTTGTTTTAATTTAATTGCCATATTTGCCAAAGAAGTTTTACTTCAACGGCACGTAAAGATTACACGCACCCATTTTATTTTTAATTTTTTTATCTACATTCTACACTCAATACTAACAATGATTTGCCAGATAAAAAAAACTACATCAGTCTTTATTTATCTAATACAAAATTTCAAATGCGCTTGCGACCTCGCGTGTATTATTTATGCCGTCAAAGTTTTATATTAGATAAAAACACTATCGAATGCTTTAAAAGCACAAAGAAAAATAAGTGATAATAATAAAAAAACATTAATTAGTCTTTTCATTACTAATTAACATATAAACTAACCGTCTAACTTACTTTATGCTCCCCATTAGTGAGTGGAGTTTCTTCGGCGGGTCCCCGTAGAGCCGCCGCCCATGGTGATAGCAATACATGGCATTGAGCGATCGTCACCTTGAAAGAGGATAACAGAAATAAATATATTTATAATAAAAAACGTCTGTAATATATGGGACTTGTCCAAAACAAACAATCGAGCCTAAATTACGTACATTAAAAAGTTTTTATCCACCTCCTTGCTCCAGCGTCAGATTAGTTCGATGATATCAAAATATTGTTAGGTCATGTGGGTTTAAAGTAGTTAAAAAAATCAAATAGATACGATTGTAAGAAGTAGGTTAACCAATTGCAATATTTCATAACATTGTTAGTTTACAAATCACAAGTGAAACTAATATGTAAATATTAACTAGTAAATATAATAATATGTAAATATTAACAATCTTGTCAATCTAGTCCAAGGGCAAACAACAAACATCTTTTTTTTTTTTTGATAAAAAATCATAAAATCTTTTATTGAAAGATATCAATATGAACGTTTTAATAGCACGTTTCATTTCTATATTTGGCGATGGAGTTTTACAAAGGTATTAATTGTATAATAAAAATAAAAACGCGTGTATGCACGTAAGAAGTTGTACTTCTTTGGCGTAACAGAACAAAAATAGCTAAAAATTTCTTTAATGTGTAAATATTTTACTCTCATATTTTTTTCCAAACGTGCCAAAAGGACTTCAATAAATAATAATCACCTTTGTAGCAGAGAGCGTAATCCTTTGTAACTCTGATGACGAGTGAAGATAGAGAGCTTCGCCACGTTTCGAGAAGCAGAGGCTGGAAATGCCACTGGAATAAAAAAGTTAGTATTTACTTATTGAAGTGTAGAATGTAGATTTTACGATGTGTCTGTTTGTAACATCAAAACTAAAGGTTTTTATTAAATGTATATGAAATTGTATATGGTATTTATAAAACACAATTTTTAACATTTTTGTCTGTCTGTTTGTTGCGGCTAATCTCCGAAACGGTGGGACTGAATTTGACTGAACTTTTACTGGCAAATAGCTGATGTTATAAGAAGTAACGTAGGCTACTTTTATTTTAGAAAAAATGTACCTAGAGACCCGAGGAAAGCCAGGGTAAATCACTTACTTACTACTTATAGTATCGTATATAATTATATATACTGTTTATATGTATAGATTATATCAGGGGTCTTATAACAAAGGCGGCAATGTCTAGTGTCAGTACATGGGACTTTGCCGCCTTTATTATTAGACCCCTGATATAGGGGTGGTGTATTGTGTATGTGTCTCACTTGATGTCCTCCTTGCGCACGGCGGCCGCGTTGAGCTGGCGGCGCAGGTCGGGCGACAGCACGAGGCAGTCGCCGAGGTTGGTGAGGCACAGCAGGCACCACTCGCGGTGCGCCTCGCCCGCGCCCGCGCCCGCCGCGCCCGCGCACTCGAACCAGGAGAACGCCGTGCGGCGCACCTGGATATGTGTGGGAATTTATTCAGCCGTCATAAAAAAACAAGGCCGCAACTTTGTCAAAGTTGATTTCGAGATATTTGAAGTTTTATCGTACGTACATACATACATACATACGTACATAAGTAACACTATCGAGTAGCATTTTTTGGCTGATTCCGAATCTCAAGTTAAGTCATTTTTGACAAAATTGTTAGTTAGAGCCTTCTCTATTATGACGGCAATATTAGTTATTAGCAGAAGCCGCGGCTTCGCTCGCGCTAAAACTACAAAAAAAGTACTCTTTGGTATTATGCTATTAGTAATAATGTATGGAAGTCTGCCCGATTTGTTGATATATATGATTACTGCTCCGCTCCCTTGGATAATAGCGTGATGATATATAGTCAAGAATATTAATACTGGATGTATTGATATTAACATCCTTGTTACTTATCTATTCTAATATTATAAAGAGGCCGAGTTTGTTAGTTTGAACGCGCTAATCTATGGAACTACTTATTCGATTTGAAAAATTCTTTTTGAATTAGATATTTATCCGTTTATTAAGGAAGGCTATATATAGGCTATATATCATCATGCTACTATCCAAGGGAGGGGAGCAGTAATAATAAATGTCAACAAATCGGGCAGACTTCCATACATTATTATAAAACCAAAGAGATTTTTTTGTAGGTTACACGCGGGAGAAGCCGCGGGTTCTGCTAGTTTGAAATATACATGATAAACTAAAAAAACTTGTGTATGGAAAAATACGATTGTCTAAAAAATATGATTACGTATATTGGTATGTTTAAGGTGCGGTTTTAGTTTAGATAACAATAAATTCTTATCGAAAGTTTCTACATTTGTTTTTACAACTGATAAAAATTAGATAATTATTCCAATAACATTATCTAATTGTTTAACAAAAATTGTTATGGAAACAAATGATTGTGCGTGTTATTTATTATATTTTATAAATTTTCAAATCGAGTCATAAATAAGTACATAGGTTTTTACAAAAACACCTAGATAAATGATTGCCATTAAAAATATGTTTTATACGCATGGTAAATTCTTTAATTGGGCGTAGAAAGTGAAACTCGCTAAATGGGTTAACTTCTCAAACTCAATCATTATTTTTATTCCAACCTGGGACTTCTATCCAAGATCAGTCACTAGATCAATAAGGCAGTTAATAAAATTTTTGGGGTTGTGTGGATTGGTTTAGTTTACTAGGGGTCTGTCTGCAAATGTGCGTGCCGTCGCGTCGGGGCGTCGTGGTTGAGTGCGTAAGCGATCCTGCGACGCCCCGTTAAGACGGGGGAGATTCTATTGGGTTTCAGTGGGTAGTACTGGCTTTTCTAGCAGATGCGTCCCAATAACCTTCTGTATGTATACTGATGGTATGTGTAAATGCATTTCTCAAGGTTAAAAAAAAAGCGTATATACGTACGCGTGCCCCCTCGTGCGCGGTGAGCTTGTACTTGTTGTGGGGCTTGAGCGCGGGCAGCGAGAACACCTTGAACTGCTCCTCCGACGTGATGACCACGCGGTGCGCGTTGCCCTCCGGCAGCGCCGCCACGCCGCGCTCCACCTGCCGCCCGACACACCACATATATTTGTGAAATGACAATATATGAAATAATCTATACTAATATTGTAAGGAAGTAAAGTTTGTGAGTTTGTGAGGTTGTAGAGGGTAATCTCTGGACCTACTGATCCGATTTAGACGAAATTTGGTAAGCCGATAGTTCGAGACCCTGGGAAGGACATAGGATACTTTTTATCCCGGAAATCATCTATTAAGGGGAGGTTGATCGAGATGAAAGTTTGTATGGGTTGAGTCGCTAGTATATATATAAAATAAAATTAGCAATTTTAACAGTTTCACAAAATAAAGTTAAATCGACGTAAAATTTGATTATATGATTAATTACAAGAGGAAATAATAAGCCCAAACTGTCAATGAAATTTCACATGTCATGGACGTACAGACAGCATAAAAATTTGTATGGTTCGACTACAGTATTGTTTAACAATTAACTTGAATAGATATTATGAAAACTACGTACAGTTACTTCAACTATTTAAATTATTAATACTAGCATACAGCAATAAGGCATAAAGTCATCAATGTGATTGTTATTGACGTAAATAATCCTTATATGTTTATTTAAAAACTATATAAACTATTATATATTTCAGTATACTTAATAATTTTCACCTCTAAGGGATCAGGCAAGGGCACCACAGCAGCGCCATCTAACACGGTGATGCCTATGACAGGCGCTCTGTGCTTCAGCTGGATTTCTTTAGCAAGTTGACATGTTACCTACAACAAATTACACTATTAATAAAATACACTATAAATTAAAAATAAAACGTAGCATATTTGAGTTTTATATCTTAGAGCATTATAATATTAGCTTTTATTAAAGAATTCAATTCATATGGTGATAATAAATTCAAGATAAAAATAATGAAAAGTACACATATTAATAGTAGTAACGAAAAAACAATCTGAATGAATGAAAACCAACGAGTTATAAAAAACATAAACGTTACGTTTCCATAGTTTCATTATTCATTATTTCCTTTATACATTTAATTTCTCTAGTATTGTAAATGCGAAACTTTATGAGTGAATGTGCGTAGATTTTTTTGTTTAGAGAGGTATACAGTGCGGGTTGCTCCTAGTTCTTTTCTGATATCAGAGTTGACCGTGAGTGCAAATATTTGGTTGTTGTATAGGATGGGAGAAGGTGTCGTGGTTTCACCGGACCGTTGATTGTATAATGTATCCTACCACGGGGTTGGACTTCAGATCCATTTAGACAGGGAAGTTTCGAAATTCTAAATGCAGATATTTTAAAATAACCAAAAATAAAGAATATAAATCATATATACTATACTAACCGGTTCCTCTTTCCGTTTGTTTGTATTAGGCACGTGTATCGTGAACGCGTACACCGTTCCATTATTAGTACCCGCCCATAGAGTTGGTGTTGACTTTTGTGCTAAAGTAACAGGATTAAAAACAATTATAAAATAATATAATTTACTAAATATAATTTTACTTAGAAAAACCAAAAAACTAAAATTATTTCATAAACGAACCAACTTAGATGTCTTTCAAATTGAAATAAAATTTTATAAATAAAATGTATGAAATTATTTTTTATCAAATAATTATAAAATTTAAGTAGGTAATAATAATTTGCCATGCTGGCAACACTACGAATATAATAATGACATTAACACAAACTTACTGTTGATAAGGAAAGTGCGGGCAAAGTACAGGCAGCGCACCATAGAGCCGTACGCGTCGTCTGTGGAGCGCGCCTCCACCGCGCGCTCTATGGGCTTCACGTCCGCGTCGGATTCACTCACTGCCTTGTCTGTCACTTTCTTTGCGGCTGGCTGTGGATTTACATATTATTATATTCAACCCTTTATAACGTCTCACTGCTGGGTCTCCCTTCAATACGAGGGGGTTCAGGCCATAGTCCACCACGCTGGCCTAGTGCGGGTTGGCGGACTTCACATGCTTTCGAAAACTTACTAGATTCTCTCAGACAAGCAGGTTTCCTCGCAATGTTTTCCTTCGCCGTTAAGACACCTGTGGCAATCATGTTGCAAATGATTCGCACATGAAAATATCCGAAGGTGCGAGACCCAGGATTTGAACCCACTTCACTTGATTTACCAAGCGAGCGCGTTACCACTGGGCTACCACTGCCTTATGTTATTATTATTTTATATGAAATAATATATTATTGAATTGGAATAGTTTATAATACTGAAGAGAGGCTAATTATTTAAATTTATTAAAACTCACAAATAATATCGCCAGGCGAAAAAATAATTTCACTACGTATGTATATTATTTCGTAGTACTTGCATGACTATTTTTTTTATTAATTGTTAAAAATGTTTACATTGTGAATACGAAAACGCGAATATATGAGAAAATATAATATTTTATACCTACTGATATGTATTTGATAACATAATTCAAATCCAAAAAATAAATATTTGAACCAACATTGCCCGCGGCTCCGCCCGTGTTCAGATGACCAAAATCCAAATTCTTAGGTTCTACATATACACATATACCTACATATTTTTTCTCAGAAATGAGATATTTTCCCGCGGTAAAAAGTATCCTATATGTTGACCCGGATAACCAGCTATCACCATACCAACTTTCATCAAAATCCCTCCAGTGGTTTTTCTGTGATGCGGTAACAGACAGACAGACAGACAGACAAAAATTCTAAAAACTATAGATTGGGCCTCTGTATCAATAATAATGTATATTTCAATAAGATTTTCCTAAAAATATTTAATGTACAGATTCGGCTTAGTTACAATTTTATTATATGTATAGATAGATAAAGAAAATTACTTGTGTGGGTGATGTAGGGCTAGAGGATGTTGTGGTCTGGCGTCTCTGTGACCTGCCTTTCCGGAGCCGTCTAAATGATTCCCTCAAAGACTTCTTGAATGATTTTCTTCTTGAAATCGGAGTGTCACCAGCACCCGAATGATCTGCGTTATTATAGATAAGTCAAGTCTTTAAAAAAAAGTGTGTGTGTGTACTTATGTATGCACGTAAGAGGTTATACTTCTTTGGAGTAACAAAACAAAAATAGCTAAAGATTTTATACCGTATATCAAAACTCTCTGTTTGTAAAACGAATGCAGCTAACTTCATCATGTCGCTTTTTGGCTGTCGGTGTGCGCGTGCATCGCAAAAATTTTACTCTCATATTTTTTTCCAAACGTGCCAAAAGAATAATTTTTTATACATAATTTTAAAAAAAGAAACCAAACACAAATGTCGCCACCATCACCCACCATGCGGATTGAGCGTGCACTTGTGTATGAGCGGCTGCACGCGCAGCGCGTCCAGCAGCGCCAGGCCGTGCGCCGTGCCCGCGCACACCACGCCCCACTCCCACTGCGCCGCCAGCGCCGTCACGGCCGCGGGCGGCGACAGCTGCCCTATACAGCTGGCCTGTGAGCGGGAAATGTGCTTTATTCACTAAACCAAAGGGTCCAATATAGATTACACTGTTATAGACTAAGTATAAATACTATTTACGACTAATCTTCGTGTCTTCTCTATTGTACGTGACATTGCAATCTGTGCGCAGCTAGCACGCTTTGAAGCCATTAACAAGATTTATTATTTACAAAAAAAAAGACTGTCAATGTGCTGTGTACAGAATATAAATTATATTATACTTTGAAAGTTAGTGCTGGTTTTATATTGTTTTTTTTTTGCTTTTTTTATACGTTGTGAGAAGAAATGTGTTTTATTTATTTTGTTATATGATCTAATATTGATTACACTACTAATCCTCGCTTTACTCCGGTACATGCATAGATATCTAATAGTAGCATAAATGTTAGTATAGATGATAAATTAGACATTGATATCTATTGTTAATTTTCTATTGTCTTTTACTACTACTACAATTATGTATTAGCTATTAAGAGTTTTGTTTATTGTATATATTTAAGATAATTATCTTTTAATTATTTTATTCTTTGAACACGCTTTTTATTAATAAGCAAATGTGTTGTTTAAACAAATCAATATACAACAAACGCTAGTTTACTACCATACTTTTATGCAACTACTGTATAAAATAGATACTCTTACTATAAAATAATAATACCTGATATCCTGCCGGGAAAGTAAGAGGCCCGGACCGTAATGTCAATTGGCTATGGCCTTTCCACACGAAGCCATCGCGATCCGACACGATGTTTACTGGTATCGACTAAAAATAAAATATAATAAGTAAAAAATGGGTTAAAAAATATGTTGAATTATTTAACTTAAATGAGTATATTTTTTTAAATAATATTGTAATATAAGTATTTCTATACCTTAACTTCAGCGGTACTTGGTGACGTCTTGAGACTAGCGATCACGATATGACCAGCTGCCCCACCAATAGTTAACATACCAGATAAAGGACAGAGGAGAACCTAAAAACAGTATTTAATATTAAATAAAAAAGTATCTGGGCGACCGATCTTCGCTCAGAGTTCTTTCTTGTTGTATCGTATTTTTTAGATTAAAAAAAGAAACTTAAAACTTGAGTACATACAAAAAAATAACTAAAATCTATGTATGCGAAAGGAAACCGCATGAAAACTCGAAAACACGCGTTTTCCCAAGCATAACACTGATCTAGATAGATTTTTCGCCCCCGAAAACGCCCACATACTAAATTTCAGCGAGATCGTTAGAGCCTAGATCGCCGGTATATATAAATAAATGAATACACAAGAATTGCTCGTTTAAAGGTATATAAATAGATATATATTTTGAAAACTTTGTACAGATTAATCTTTGATTTAAAATTTAAATTATAATATATACATAAATATAATATTAAAAAAGCTATTATGCAAAATTCTTACTCTTTTAACACCGAGGCGTGGATCATCGCTGTACGGGTCGAAGGTACCGACTCGTCTGAATGGAGGCCACTCCTCTTCGTCGTTTTGACTGTCATTATTTTCGCCTATCTCTTCACCACTGGAGATATATCAATAAAGATTAATAAAATCTTTTATAAATAGATGTACACATTAACAATCTACGTCACATATACATATAAATCTGTCATATATAGGGGTTGAGTTTTCACAAACCTATTTGTAAACACGCTGTACAGATTACGGATATTTTTTATTTATCAATCATAGAACAGGAAACAAATAATGTTAATTGTATAGGGCTCCATGAAACGATCTGGTCATGCATCTACTCTACACATTGAATGTTTTTTAAATGAATTAAAATAATTTTACCTCGGCGTCGATCTTTTCAGCCCGCTTCGGAATATAGTAAGCAATAAGCAAAAGATGACACGTTAACTATATCACAAGCTCGTCACTAGCTTAGGGTTCGCGCTAAGGTTCGTGGTAGGATTTGCCAAAAATGATAAATCAAATGCGCAATCCATACAATAAAAATGTTATGTGTGTCTAAATAATGGATTTGTATGAAATAAGAACTGAGTAAACAAAATGATCCCTTGAAAAAAAAAAGTCACAGTTCATGTGTAAAAGTGTAGTGTAACAACCAAAAATTATAGGCAAATAATTTTATTATGTGACATGTATAATTTTGTGTAATAACTCATTTGCCTAAATAGTATGTAAATTAAACCTATCTTAATGCTTTCTTAGATTTACGCGAATATTTTAAATAAGACTATCTTATACAATATCAAATACATTTTAAATAAAACTATCTTATTGGATTTTTTCGCGGATTTATTGAAATTTTCGATCCCCGACATTTCGAATTTTGGAAAAAAATATGTTTATTTTTTTTTTGATTTGTGGGTAGGCACTGTCTGTAACAAGTATATAATGATATCTGATTCGTCTAAAATCTTAGTCTCTCCCGTAACCATGATCGCTGTAAAGCATCCGAAACATCGGGAACTAAAAATCGAAATAAATCCGCGAAAAAAACCTGAAAATATACTAGTATTTAATTAAACCTACCTAAATTAATGTATTTCATTGTCTATAAAAACTTTTTTTATCTGTAAACATTTCATTATTTATACTGTTTAACTAACGATAATTGTTCACTACAAACAAATTGATAAGACAAATTTCCTTAATAGAATTTATTATTTATAGGAATAAATAATAAATTCAATTCGAACATTACATATACAATCAAATCTCTATACATATTCACAGAAAGCTCACCTAAAAAGCGGAGCCGTAGTATATTTATATAGCGGCGTCATGACGACGCCGGTGACGTCCCAGAAGCGGACGGAGCCGTCCTCGTGGCCAGTGAGCAGCACCTGCCGGCCGGAGGGCTCGGGCGTCTCCACGATGCCGCCGGATATCGGCCACGGACTGTCCGAGTATATGTTCTCGATTTGCTGTTGCCCTGGTAGAAATTGGAAAGAACAGGTTAATGTAACGAGTGCAAATAAATATCGGGATTGATTATAAATGGCGTTAATTTTTATTTCTACGAGTATACTGTATTTCGCCGAATGAACCAAGCACCGAGATTTTGTGCTTCCACGTGATTAGTTTAGGCCGCGATTACAATGCAAGTCATAATTAGTCCGTCGTTGCATTCCGTACCGTTCAGACGTCTCTCGTGTAGTTACCTGATTTATTATGACAGTGATACGTCGGAAAGCGAAAAGTAATAAATAATGTATACAAATATTTAAAAATACAGTCAATTTTACTTTAATGTTGATTTTGTTTTATTACAAATTATTAATAATCCCTCACTAAAGCATTAGCAACATGAACGAGCCCTATGATTTCAAACCAGTTGCAAGCGTTAGTGGACGGAGGTAGACAGTTTTCTGTCCTTATCAGTTTGTATGGTAATGTGGGACAGAGACAGCGCTTTGCATGGTTCCCTCCGTGTATAGAGTATAGCTGTAGAACTATCGCTATGCTAGCATCCATTAGTAGACCGTAAAAAATTAAGATTTTTTAAATTATATTTTTGGGTATTTATAGCAAAATAGTTCGCCTGTTGTCAAACTATGATAATCTATGATAAGAATACATAATACTATATTACAGTGAGTAAGAAAGAGACAGAAAACTTTGTTGACATTTCTAGAATATTTTCGGTAATTAAATCGTTCTTTGTTTATGTTTGCTAGGTTGGTTGGGTGATCACTTGAATTTCGTATTATCTGACTACTATAATAATTGCGAAAATTATTAGTGTGTCTGTGTGTACAAGCGCGCGCGTGCGTTTGTGTACACGCTGTTGTGCACGTGCGCGTGCGTGTACGTATGCGTATTTGTTCATTCTTCACGCTGAAACGTAAACTATGACCTGGGGTAACAAATGGGCTACAATTTAACAGCCATTGACTCACCTGAGGATAAAGACATAGCTATCTATACAGATAAATGAAATTGAAGTTTCTGTTTGTAATGTCAAAATAACAGCTTTTTACTAAATGCATATGTAATTATATACAGTATTTATAAGAAAAACAAATTTTTAAAAATATTTGTCTGCCTGTCTGTTTGTTCCGGCTAATCCCCAAAACGGCTGGGCCGATTTTGACGGGACTTTCACTGGCGGGTAGTTGATGTTATAAGGTGTAACTTAGGTTATTTTTATTTCAGTAAAAGAATTAGGGTTCTGCTCAAAAAAATTAAAAAGTACCGCTCAAAAAATAAAACCAGCATTACTCACCTGCAGCTACAATATTATCATAGACGGTGTCGGCCACGTTGTCGACGAGGTTCATGGTGGTGACGGCGGACGCGTGTATGGACACGAGGTAGGGCAGGCGCAGCGGCCGCCAGCGCGCGTCGCACAGGTCGATCACCACCAGCTCCTCCTCCGCTAGCACCACCTGTATCAATGGTATTAATATATAAGTATTTTATTTATTGTGGCGTTGAAGGGAATTTATCTAATGAGTACATGTGAAATTTAAGGAAAAAGACGTTCTCGTGATAGGCACAAGTAAATCATAGTGGACCTGTAACCAGGTCTATGATTTATCGGCATACAAAATATATTTAATGAAAAAAAAAAGATTCCAACGAATTGAGAACCTCCTCCTTTTTGGAAGTCGGTAAAAAATGGAAAATATAGTTTTGATATGAAAAGGAGGCTACTAATATGTCAAGAATCTACAAAAATGTAAAAAGCAGCGAGAAAGACAGTTATACTATTAAATTTAACTTTACTATTTTATTTTCAACAAAATCGTCAATTTTTCTAATGAATATAAAAATGTTACATAAAAAAAAGTATTTCATAACTATACTGACCAAAGCAGCAGCCACTTGGTTGACAGTCTGCACGAGTATTTGCGCGGGCGTGTCGGGCCGCTCCTCCTGCAAGGGCACGCCGTCGGGCGGCACGGGCGTTGTTGTGAAGAAGTCGATTACCTAAAATAGCATAAATAAAATTTAACAAATTGTACTAAAACACAAAAAAAAGAAAAAAATAAAAAAACACAGTAAAAAGTCGGCAGTCCTCATGATTGCTTTTTTATATCATGTTTAAAACGACTCACTCTGCTGGTGAAGTCGAATGCCACATGTTTTTCACCCTGCTGCACTGTGACGGTGTACTTATCCGAATAAGACGCTCTGGGCATGCCACCTAAAAATAAATAACAAGATTTTTTGTAATAAACTTTATAGGACTAAAATGTATATTTACGTCTAATTACTAATACTATCAATGGGAAAGTGTGTTGATTTGACGTTACTAATAATGTAGCAATATATTTATTTCATGTATAAAAACTAACTTACAAGGAATAACATATAAGTATATATTTATACTGGTACATGAAGAGTTACTTTATTCATTGCAAAATCTGCCAAACATTTCACCATACCATTGTGTTATCTCTTAGACTGACTCGAGTCGTGAAATCACTTTACTGCCTTTAAATTTCAAATTTACACTATCCTATATAAAGTGCGTCAAAATACGCATATGACATAGTAAACTTATGTTATCCCAATTATAATTGGAACCCTTACCGGCAAATATAACGATTTCATCTCCATCAACACTGGTTCTATTGAGGATCTTAGATATGGCTTTGCACGGGTAAGGGCCGTAGGGTGTGACTGGCTCCTTCAGAGGACGGTCGCTGGCAGCGCCGGCCACTTCCCACATCACGTAGGAGCCGTCGTTGTGTGACGATGTGAAGTGTTCTCCTGTAATATTTTCATATGAGTATTATAAATAAGACCGTCTTTGCATGCTTAATGTACTTTAGCTATGTATTTTTGTCCTTATATTATGTGTATCTGGTTAAGCGTAAATGGCTAGGCAACTCTAAAAATAATGTAATTCAATATAAAAAAAATCTGTTTATTGATACATATATTGGTTTACGATAAAATTGAAAACTGACAGTAATGAAAAATAATAATGTAATTTGTCTTAATAATTTTAAGTTTAGATTTATTTTATATATTCCAAAGAAACAAAAGCTCCAAAAATGCATAGCAAATATAAATTTTACCGTCATCATTCCAACATAAGCTCTCCAACTGTTGATTCGACACGAACGTGTGCGTGGGGGTGGAGGTCGCGCGGTCCCAGAGGACGACCAAGCCGCGGTTGTACCCGATCAGAATGCGACTCGGCACTTTGGGGTGTTCGCAGACTGCCTCCACCGCGCCCGGGTTCACTTTGAAGTCTTCTGGACAACTGAATAAAATATGTCATATTTAATGCGCTTGGAATATAAATATTGAAAAAATCAATTGAAACCGTCACACTACGCCTGGTAGATGTGAAACATCGAAAGTATTTTGTATAGAAAATACGCATGACGGGATGGTTTTTAAGGGCAGTACATCTACATACATCATAATTAAAAACAAAATATTTATTTAAAATGTTATTTTTTTATTCTCAAATGCTATGAAATATAGTGCCTATATCTATATTATTCATAAAATTAAAGTATCTAACCATTTATACCATTTAAGAAAGTTCGGCGGCGGTAGAAGAATAATAAACAAAAAAACTACAGAACATTGTCAAAAAAATTGGTAAAAGTTTTACATAGCAAACTTTAGTGACGTTCTTTAATCATAAAACCATAGATAAGCGAAAAAAAATCGAATTGCTAACGATTTCACGTCTTTTAACTATACAAATTAGAAATTTCAACACCTGAACTCATACATCACACCTGAAATAACACACAAACATTACAGAATATAAGCGAGTATCTCTTGTACTCACTTTCCCATAATAAGGTCTTGATAAATAACATCGTCGTGAACTGTGAAGGTGTTGCAGTCTACGGTGTATATGTTGCCTCCCTCCGTCCCAAGTAGGAAATTCTTTCCTGATGACTCTACACATATCGATGATATCTTTTTTGTTTTGCCTTCAAAAGCATGCGATTTAAGCTCTACGAGCGATTTTTCGTTAATTTCCCATAAATGCAGGGTGTTGTCATCACAGAGGGATATTAGACGTCCAGTTCCTATAACATAAAATTTTCTTTTTAGATTTTACGAATACAATATAAATTATAAATAATACAGTATGCAAAGAGTATTTTAGTATAATTTCTATTCTGTATCTAAGGTTAGTTTCTACAGCAATAAAGTTCGAGTATTTCTGATTGGACAAATAGAGGTTGTGTCAGATATTTAATTAGAATCTTCGCTTTGTATATAAATAAAATTCCTAACAGAACAAACTTTTTTATTGAAATAGTAAATGAAATGCATTTTAAAAAGAAAAATGTTGTGAAAACTGCCAAGTAATTTGTTTTTCAAAAAAGAAAAGAAAGAGATACGAGATACCACAGTAATGCGGATTAAATGTGGTAGATTATGTTTTCTGTATATATATATATATATATATATATATATATATATAGGTATATATAAGAGTTGCAATGTATACTATGGTCCCTAACCAGCTAACCAAGCGTGTATGTTTACGCTAGGTGCGGTTACTACATTCGATACGCGGACACGCTCTAATAACTGCCTATTTATTATTTTTTCGCAAGCGTATTGTTATTTTTTTACTATCAATACGGAAGAACACATGATAATTTCATTTTGAGTGTGACCTTGATGACTAATATGGTTCGTCACTATGTTTAGACTTAGACTACTGGGTTTTGAAGTAAACACTTCTATAGGCAGATTTGGATGGGGAGTAAATTCACGTAAGTCGTCATCGACATGGTCACGTGACGTGTTAACGCTAACACTCAGAGTGCCGATAGATGTCAAAACCAGATAAATGTAAACAGTTTTAATTCACAAATTTTAATTTAAGATCAAACAATTAATTTGAATATCCAAAAATGACAAATGACAACTGTTTCTTTATAGTTTTAAGTTTTCACTTCAGACTGTCGGCAGTCCTCATGATTGCTTTTTTTTTAACTTGTGTTAGGTACTCGAATTTAAAATTATAATGTCACGTGTTTATTATGTCACGTTTCATTAAGTTGCAATTTCATAATACACTAGTATAACTTTTTCTATATCTTAAAGTTTAGTATAAAGAGACCTTGAAGTTTAGAGTCAACAATAATTGTGATTCATAAGAAATAAATTATAACCCAATTTTAATAATTAAACGACGTTGTTATTTCTGTACGGATGATTAATAAACTACCGCCAGTGTCTCACAAACTCGTTCTGTACGTCGAGTTCGAGTTAGTTAGGAGTGGTTTTGAAACAAAAATAAATATTGGTAACTTTGTAAATACAAGAAAATTTACTGAATAAACAATATACTATTTTGAAAACAACATCGCTTAGAAACTGTTTCAATATTGTATATTAATCCTAACAACACGTTTCGCACGTGTTGCTTTACGTACAACACTTAAAAATTTGCAGATTCAACATATAAATATGAATTAATTAGTCATAATTACGTATTAAGTAAAAAATGTATACCTGGTATAAAATGTATTTGTGTAACTATGGAATCTGGATTGGTGTGTTGTCCATACAATTCGACTCCAGGTCTTCCGTATACTTTCAAAGCGCCAGATGCAGTACCGAGAGCAGCAAGTCGTAGGAGAGGGTCCCAGGCGAGGGCTGACGCTCTGTGAGGAAATCCATGCTGTACTGTCTGTGGACAAGAAGTATCCCATAAATATTATAAATACGAAAGTTTGGATGGATGTTTGTTACTCAATAACGTCAAAACGACTGAACTGATCTGGATGAAATTTGGCACTGAGATAGATTAGTCTGGAATAACACATATGTTACTTTTTATCCCGGAAAAATATACAGTTCCCGTGGGATAGATTTGTTTTTGTTTTTCACAGAGCAAAGAACCGACTATCTATTCCATGCCAACCGTTAACTTAAAACCTATCTAGAGACGAACCAGAGCTAAGTGAGGGAGAGCTGCTGGTTTTAAATAAACATATGTAAAAATATTCTTTATATAAATTATTTTAATGGAATTTCATTGGGATAGTATAAGAATTTTTATTGAATAACTTTTCTTTCTGATACAGTTATCAAAGAAAACAAACATTATAACGTATAAACCTTGTTTACTAACACGAAAAAAAAATTTGCAGACTCTATCGATATATTTTAATATAATATAATAGTTTGTTAAGCTAGTTTATAATATAAAATTTATATTTTTATTACTATTTCCTTCTAGTAACGATCCGTTTTTTATAGAAAAATGTAAATATAATGTCAATGCTTGCAAGAAACATCTCGTAATGGTACTTTAAATATTCATTGTATATGTGAGATGTCAAATACAACAATAGAACGTACCGTCACGATATGGGCAAATTTACAAGATGCCATGACTCACATACACAACCTGGTAACGTGTAACTACAGAAACTGCACGTGAATTTAAATTACCTTCTACATGGTCAAAAGAATAAGGACAACATATATAAAAAAGTATCGAGTAAATTAGTGTTCATTGCAGTACTAAACCTTGACTTATATTTTTTTTCTTGACTTTAATCCTTAGCTATATCAATATACTAGCGACTCACTCTCGCTTCGCTCGGGTTCGTCTCTCGGTTGATTCACCATACAAACTTTTATTCCCATTTTCACCCCCTTAAGGAATGATTTCCGGGATAAAAACTATGTCCTTCCCATGATCTCAAACTATCTTCTTACCAAATTTCATCTAAATCGGTTGAGTAAATCCAGAGATTACCCCCTAAAACTTCACAAACTCACAAACTTTACCTCTTTATAATATTATTATGTATAGACAATTAAAAATTAAATAAAGATCAGTGCAACGACTTTCCTTGAAATGTGATAAACACAGACTGATTAACACACCAAACGTAATTTACTATATGTAATAGTGAGGACATCAGTTGAGCTGACGTCTGATTACAATCATTAATTGTTTAGTCTAGCGAGCTTTTAAATGGTTTGTAGATGCCCACGCGACGTAAGTATATTTTTTTTATGATTTCCGCGATTTAACTTAGGGTTTAAATGAATCGTTTGAGTATAAACAACTTTAGTTGATTTCTTGTGCGAAATAATCAGAAAATTGACTACGTCTATGTAGGGAACAATGTACGTACTTCTCATCTCTGACTTTGTGCTTTTCACGTATCTATACAATCAAACAAATTTGGAGGTATGCCAATGTATATAAAACAACTTTTTAACTACACTGTGTTTACGAAAGTAACGTATTGGCAGCATCTACTCGTCACTTTATCTCCACTAATATTGTCTTTTCCATTATACAATTAGGATTTTATAATTTCTTAAAAAAAATATTCAGTAGCCATATTTATTTGAATTAACTTTTCCAGCGGAGTTTACCACGTAGAGTATAAGTTCATAGCAGTATCTAACTGGAAGCATCATAGCATTTGACTAGCGAATCACCCTCGCTTCGCTCTGGTTCGTCCCTAGGGTATGTATACAACTTCCCTATTTGAATCGGAAATTATTAATTTTTTTCCTGGGATCCTTTTTTTTTCTAAAATAAAAGTAGCCTAAGTTACTCCTTATTACATCTCTTATTATATCTGCCATTGAAAGTCCCGTCAAAATCGGTCTAGCCATTTCAGAGATTAGCCGGAACAAAAAGACAGACAGACAAACATTGTAAAAAAAAAATTTCTTTTGGTACATGTACCGTGTATACATCCATATGCATTTAGTAAAAAGCTGTTATTTTGACATTACATAGGGGGTGTCCATTAATCACGTGATCTTTTTTTAGCATTTTTTAACCCCCCCTCCCCCATTGGTGATACGTAGTGAGGTTTAAGACCACCCCCCCTCCCCCTTCTCAACATCACGTGTATTTTTAGTACCTACAACGAATCTTAAAATTTTCTGAATATTATCTTAATTTAAATACAGGTATAAACTATAATCTTATTTTATTCTGAAATTAAGGACCATAATAAAAATGTCTACACCAGGTTGCAAGTTTTTTTTTATTGCCATAACAATAATAATAATAAACGAAGAGTGTAATCATAGGAAAAACATGTATTGTACTAGTACATGAATATATTTAATGTATATTGTCCTCGGACCACGGATTAGCAAGACATTCTTCAACACTAACAACTGGATAAGCGTCTTGCAGGTGTTTGACGAAAAAATAAATACACGAGATATCTTACTACAACCCCCCCCCCTCCCCCTTGTGTTATTTTCGTGATTTTTATCAAACCCCTCCCCCCCCTTTCAAGCCTCACGTGATTAATGGACAACCCCATACAGACACTTCAATTTTATTTATTTATATAAATAACAGAATTTACATGATTTAAGAAAACACAAAATTAATTCTATCTCGAAAATCTCACGGTTCGATATTGAAGAATAATATTTGTTTAGCAATAATGATATATAACGCTGCATAACAACCGTCGCGTTACGACAAAAGACGTGGGAATTTTTCACACAAACTGTGTTCCATTACTAATATTACGTGATTATCCATCGACATGCATTCCGCGAAATATGATTGAGGGATTATGTAAACGTATTTTTAGTGGTGTGTAAACACAAATGAATGTTAATGCATTGTTATCAGACTAACGCGTCAGAGATTTACTCGACGAAATGTCTGGGGGAAATCGTTAGTTTATCGATAGTCCTGTCTAATTAACATTTTTTAAATAATTTTATGGATATTACAATCACTTTGTTTACTCTAATTCGCTCTAAAACTCTTTCTAATTGCCTTTATCGTTTTCTAAAGCACTCATTGTTTCTTTCTATATTAGGTTTTATAACATTTTATTTACATTCTGTATGTGTTACCATTACATCTAGCTTATGAAGGTACAGGTTATGAATTAAACCTATATTAGAAAAAAAAACATAGAACAGAACTCATTATATTAATATTTTTTTATAACGAGAAGGTGCATATAAAGGAATTATTTTGTGCTGGACCTATACAACAATTATTTATGACTTGCAAGTACGGCTTGTGTACTAAAAATATTAATATTTGCTTTTGAAGTAAGAGACGTTAAGCTATATTAATATTATAAAGAGGTAAAATTTGTGAGTTTGTGACGTTGCAGGGGGTAATCTCTAAATCTACTGAAACGATTTAGATGAAATTTGGCAAGAAGATAGTTTGAAACCCTGGGAAGAACATAGGATACTTTTTATCCTGGAAATCATCCCTTAAGAGGGTGAAAATGGGGATGAAAGTTTGTATGGGGAATCAATCTAGGGACGAACCCGAGCAAAGCGAGCGTGAGTCGCTAGTATATACATAAGTGAAAGGGTATTATAATACCTGCACAGTTGTGCTAGTAGAGACAGCTAGTAAGTAGTTGACATACACACTCTGATTTATTTGTGCATTTTAACTGTAGTGTAAAGATCAAAACTGCGCAGGTAAGCCCTTGCTAATTAAATCAATTGGTGTGATTAGTGCAGTAAATAATCATTAGCATTATATTGATGAACCTATTGCCGAGTGTTTATCAAAAAACATTTACGTTTTTAAACTCTGTGTTTAAGCAAATGTACACAAACATCAAAATTATTTAAAGTATGTAATATATATTACATAAGTAATAATTACATAAGTAATAATTTCTAAGCTCTTTACATCTCGTTAGTTATGTTATGAAACATAATTTATCATTTCTCTTACATCTATTTAAGACGAGAAGTGCCATCACTCATTAAGTATCCTTAATCAAAGTAGATTACACACAGGCGTATGTTTAACTACAGAACAGAACGTAAGCATATTGTACTACTACTTTAATCGACGTTAAATAAACTGGATCTATAAATAATTTTATTGAAATGAATCGGAATATCGTGGTCTTGCCACTGTTTGATTAAAACCTGAATGTATCAAATCAAAATATTTTATTCAGCATTAAATTATTACAATTTTTCACTGAACGTCATGAGTCTACTACCAGTTCGGAAAGAAGAAGCCTCAGACCTGAGAAGAACTGGCGAAAGAAACTCAGCGGGACTAATATTGACTTGTTATCTATTTTGTAATGTTGTTAGTTACATGTTCTGTTAGTCACAATTGATTTAAAAAACGAAACCTAATTGTAAAAGCGCAGAAATGTAAAACAAAGAACAGTAAAAGTACACTCTACAAACTTAACGATCATAAAACATAGAAGGTGCAGTCGTTATCACATGATAGTAAAAAGTTCAAGATAATACACAATATTGATAGCGTTCATGACCGCTTGGTACATGTGCACCGAAAGCGTGACACCAGACCAGACTAATGGACCGGTTCTGTGCCGTTATAGCCGCTAGTGGTCAGATTTGGCACTATTTTGAAAGGTATTGCCGTGGGGAAAAGACTACTTTGCTATGTATTGATTGTGAATTTTATGGGGTACTTTTTTATAATAGTTTAAGAGCAATGCCCTTAGAAAGTACATTAGACTTAGAAGATGTACAAAAATTACATACAATACACGAAAAGCAATCGTGTTTGTGATATAAGTGATTATTATATTGCCAAGAGAGATTAATAAATACATTAATTTAACAACTTTCTGCAAGATACACCTATATATTTTACTAGCATTGCCCGCGGCTCCGCCCGCGTCCAGATGACCAAAAACCAAATTCTTAGGTTTTACATATTAGTATACTCTTACAATGCAGTTTTTGTATTTTTTCTCAGGAGTGAGATATTTTCTCGCTGTAAAAAGTACCCTATATGCTGACCCGGATAGCCAGCTATCACCATACCAAATTTCATCAAAATCCCTCTAGTGAGTTTTCTGTGATGCGGTAACAGACAGACAGAAAGACAGACCAAACAAAAATACTAAAAACTATAGATTCGGCCTCTGTATCGATAATAATGTTTATTTCAATAAGATTTTCCAAAAAATATTTAATATACAGATTCGGCTTAGTTACAATTTAATTATATGTATAGACATATGTATGTAATGGTCATAGTTTTGCCTTAAAGCTGATCGAAATGGTACTATCAATTCACGGCTACCAAAATAGTAGATGATATACTTAATTAGCAGGTACAATTACAAGGTAATTAGATAATGGAAATAATGACCCATTCATATGTATGACACATCGCGGAATTTAATCAATGCAGCGTTCACATCAATTAGAGCATCGCCGACACTTGCCGTTTATTATTTAGCATCCTAATTAAAATATTACGAGCTTCATGTTAATTACATATCACGTCAAGTGGTCGGTGACAGCTTCATTTAAATATTTATTATATGAATCCATAACATAAGAGATGAAGATTTAACAAAACTGAGTGCGAGTTTTTATTCGATAAACAAATTGGAAATTTTATATTGCATGATATCAAAACATTGCGAATTATGTTTTAACTAAATTTTTATAATTTTCCTCGTGCACATTTGTTTTAGTTAATTTAGTTAACGCAATTAACCTAGTCCATATATTATATTACATCACAAACGCGGCATATTTTATACTTCGCGTGTAGGTAACATGATGTCACTGTGCCATAACAGCTGCTTTCCTTGCCAAATGACATCACTTTATAGCGTGCACAATTTGTTTGCGACGATCTTAATAGTCGGGTTTCTGGGCTTGATATTGTTGCCTCATGGACACTTCCTTATAAAAGTCAACGCACTCGAACTTTGTTGAAGAAATTAAGCTACTTTACACTGTAATATTTACTTAGATTTTATTCATAAGAACGTTTATGGGTTAATTAAATACCGTATGAATCATAGGACTTTTTATGATATGTTCTTTACTTAAATACATGCAATTAAAGTAGGCAAATATTAACAATAAAATAATATTTATATATTATATTATTTTATTGTTAATGTTTGCCTATATATATTATACAATGTTGCAAGTATTTTGCAAGAATCTGTTCTGATTAAGTTACTTAGTGATTTTAGAAAAGTATAGTTTAATGCTCAAAGGCAGTAAAGCCTTTTGTCATTATTCCTATTTTTTTTTAATTTAAGCGTTGTAACAAGGGATTGTAAGGCTTCGTTTAACATAATATGATAAATTGGTAATAACTTTAAAAAAATATTAATGAAAAGGATTAATCGCAATAACATAAATAACTATGGTACCATTCAACTGGTAATTTTTTTTTAATTATTGCAATCAGGTAAAAGCCAATATAGCATTTTACCTAATACGCGAAAAGTTACGGGAATGACCCGTGCATGGTCGAATGTAGATATATATGTATTGAGCGTATATGTAAATATTTTTCTTGGTTTGGCATGGCAGTCTGTCTAGGACTCTAGGTCATATTGGACACTTCTTGCAGTTCTTATACAATATTTTAACAAATGTCAAACTAATATTTTTAGTTGTTAGGCGACAAAAATATGACAGGTTTCATGAGCGCACGCGCTAGGTAACAGACGAGTTGTTTCCTGCGCCGTTTCCGGCTGGACAATGCGATTACGACCATTGTGCGTACCGCATGAGTGTTACTGATAGAAATCGTTTGGGATTCCACCGTAAAATAAATGTATCTACAGTCAAAAATACCATATCTGTACATATAATAAAATTGTAACGAAGCCGAATCTGTACATGAAATATTTTTTAGAAAATCTTATTGAAATGAACATTATTATCTATACAGAGGCCAAATCTATAGTTTTTAGAATTTTCGTCTGTCTGTCTGTTCACAGAAAAACGACTGGAAGCATTTTGATGAAATTCGGTATGGTGATAGTTGGCTATCCGGGTCAACATACCTATAGGATACTTTTTACCCTGGGAAAATATCTTATTTCTGAGAAAGAATATAAAAACTACAATGTAAGAGTATACTAATATGTAAAAGCTAAAAATTTGGTTTTTGGTCATCTGAACGCGGGCGGAGCCGCGAGCAATGCTAGTAATATTTATATATTTAATATTGACATAAGTCGAAGTAAGTATAATTTTGGCAAACAATACAATTTAACATGTATTTAAATTACGCCCGCGTACAAATATGCTTTTTTTAAATTTTACAATAGTAGGTATATTTAAACATGTTACATAGAAAAAAGAAAAAAAAACAATTCTAAGTGTTCAATTAAGAATAAAGAATAATACATACCTATTAAATATTATGTACATACATTTTGTAGAGATGTAATGATAATAATACCAGTTCTATTAGCGCCGGCGTATATACTTATATACTTAATAGAATTCGTAAAGAATGTTAAAGATTGCGCTATTATTTTCCTTATAGCGTGCTTTATAAAGCAATCCTAATTGTTGTGACTAACGAGGTATATAACAGTTTTAAAACTTGTCAAAAAGGCATTAAGGATAATGAAATCTAAAAAGTAGGTATTTCCCGATAAGTGGAAAAATATATGATTTCATTTCCGTAGTCAGAATTTAGTGATAGGGCGGGGCGAGTCACTTGATAGGAAATATTTTAAATGCTTATCAACAATGTATCAATTTTATTGAACGTTTTGTAATATTTATATTACACATATAAATGTGTCATTATTAAGGTCAATTGCTGTACAACTCCAACTATTTTTCAAATGACAGAAATAGTTTAGAAATAAACTTAGTAAAAATATACATAATATGTATGATGTAAACTAAAATGAGATGAATCAAGTGTTGATAGATAGTTAGATAGAGTTTACATTGCCACACTATCGTATGACAAACTGTATGAATCAGTCATCGTTAAGATAAAACAGTAAACAAACGAAACCACATATGTAAAACGCTTTACAAGCTCTCTTGCTACTTACATAATTTTCCAATAAGTGTGTAGAGTCGTCAATGTAAACGTATTTTGCTAAAACATCGTAAACGCAAACGCCGCAAATAGCGCGAGGCAGGTGATTATCGTAGAGTTAGTCATGACTCATAGTACCTGGATGGAATATAGCGCCACTATTATATTTTTTCTGCGTTAACGTGTATTAAATACCCAATCAAATAGAAGTTTTCGCATTTTTTCCTCTTCTATTATGAGAATAATATTTAAACCTATCGGAAAAACATTGTCATAAGCTTGTAGTCTTGCTTGAATATATTAAATTTATGATTCTTAGCATTTATGTATTCGTATTGTATGTATTCAGCCCTTCTTAACGTCCCACAGGCACGGGCCTCCCTTCAATACGAGGGAATCAGGCCATAGTCCACCACGCTGGCCAAGTGCGGGTTGGCAGACTACACGTCATGTCTTTCGAAAACTTGCTAAGTTCTCTCAGACATGCAGGTTTCCTCACAATGTTTTTTCCTTCACCGTAAGGCAAGTGGTAATCGTGTTAGAGATTATACGCACATGAAAATATCAGAGGTACGAGACCCGAGATTTGAACCCGCTTCACTCGATTATCCAAGCGAGCGCGTTACCACTGGGCTACCACTGCCTGATTCTAAGCATATTTTTCGTTACTTAACTTAATTTCTTACAATTTATTAGCGTTAGGGGGCTAGTATTATCCTCCACAAATGTCCTGTCTCCTAAATGAAAATGCAAGATTGTCTTCATGTCGTCGGTTATCGCGTCATAAACGTAAATTGTCATAAAGTTACTTATTCATCTTATGGGACTCGCTTACTTTATCTTAATTTGCGAGTAGCAGTCCTCAAGATCAAAATATATTAAGGCCTTTGCTACAATTTCATTAGAACTTTAATTAAATAAAAAGAATTTAAAAAAAAAGGAATGACAAGCGGAAAGAGGAAACGTGATAATGTACACGTTTCTCGTGTTTATTACAAAACTTTCCATTTTTTTTCGATTGTTTGTAAGATTTTGGTGCTGCGAGAGAAAAAAATACCGTTGATTAAACCTACATCGTTTTATAACCTTAATAACAAGAAACATTTCAACTCCAAACAGCATTGCATCGCACACACGTTTCTCATAAAAATACCGTTCGTTCAACTAGAATCTTCTTAAGCATAATCATAATAATCTGTGACAGATATGCATGATATATGCATTAGTCAAGGATGCTTTGAAGTACCTTTTAAACAGTGTTAAATTTACTGTCGCCCATAATTTATGTTTTTTTGGATAATTGTTTACTAAACAATACAATTTTATTTAATTTTTTTCTTAATTCGTCATCTATACATATAATAAAATTGTAACCAAACCAAATCTGTACATTAAATATTTTTTGGAAAATCTTATTAAAATAGTCGTTATTATCGATACAGAGTCCGAATTTATAGTTTTTTGAATTTTTGTCTGTCTATTACGACGGAAAAAATACTGGAGGGATTTTGATGAAATTTGGTATGATGATAGGTCGTAGATGCTTATCCGGGTCAACATATAGGATATTTTTTAATGTGGGAAAATATCTCATCTCTGAGAAATTCATATTAAACGTTAAAACGGAAGTAAGGACGAACTCGAGCAGAGCGAGGGTGAACCACTTGTTTAATAATAAAAAATAAGTAATTATCTGTGATGTATGAGGGTAGATTTGTTTATGTGGATTACATTGTAGGTGTAATTAATTTGTACTCTCATTGTGAAATAAACGGTCAACGAAGTACGTGCGTTTCCTTTGTCCCCGGCTGCATTATTGTGTATAGTTCTCATAGGCATTCAAATATATTTCAGTGGCGACGATTGAACTTACGTGTGCACTGTGCATATTATAAATAAAATAAATAAAAAAAATGTCGATTGGTAAAATAGCGGAATTTAATATACGGACGGACAATTGGCGGTTATATGTGGAGCGTCTAGAACAATATTTTATTGTTAATAAAATAGCAAGTGAGCTAAAAGTGCCAACGTTAATCACCGTAGTTGGATTAGAGTGTTATGAACTATTGGTGGACTTGTGTACTCCCGACAAGCCGTCATCGAAAACGTTCGAACAGTTAACGAATGTTCTAGAAAAACATTTACAACCCAAGCCGAGTATTTTGGCGGAACGATTTAAATTTCGACATAGGAAGCAAATGAGCAGTGAAACAGTGGCGGAATATATCGCTGTGTTAAAAAAACTTTCTAAAACATGTGAGTTCGGGGCGTGGTTGCAAGAAAGCCTTAGAGATCAATTTGTTTGCGGAATACAGTGTGAAGCGATACGGCAACGGCTATTTCAAGAGGATGACCTTGATTTCTCGAAAGCGTATCGCCTGGCGATTAGTATGGAGGCGGCTGAAAAGGATGCAGCGGTAGTGGAGAGCCATGCTGAGGGGCCGGGTGGAGTACCGGCGATGACGACGGTGTGTCAGGCGGCAGTAGCGGCGGCGGGGAGATCGTCGGCCGCGGGCGGTACGGCCGGCCGGCGCGGGCGGTCGGCGGCGGCAGCGGAGACATCGCGGCACCAGGCGGCCGTCGGGGCGCGCTGTCGCGCTTGTGGTGGCCAGCACGTTAGGGTACCGTGCAGATTTGCGCGCTATGTGTGCAGAGCGTGCAAGCAACAAGGTCATCTGCAGCGCGTCTGTCCTAATGTGAAGGGAGCTTATAACATCGAGACGGGGAGTACGACGATAGCGGCGACGACTTCAGACAGCGAAGAGAGTGACGAGGTAATAGTAGTTGAACTTAACCAATTAGCCTTAGAACTTTGTAAACCATTCATGGTGACATTAGATGTTCAAAATAAAGCTATCTCGATGGAATGTGATACGGGTAGTGCAGTGTCATGCATAAGTCATGAATTTTATAAAAAATATTTATATGATTTAAAATTAGAAGAGTGTAGATTAATTTTAAAATATTATACGGGGGAGACAGTGCGCCCTGTGGGGGTCATTAGACCTCTAGTTAGATACCGCGGGCAAGAAAAATATTTAGATCTGTACGTTGTGCGCGATGCTAAGTCTGCTTTATTGGGTAGACAATGGTTATTGGAATTAAACATAAAATTGCCTAAACTCAAAGTTGATACAATGAATTATATAACCGATAATAATTTTAATTTCAATGATTTCAGTTCCAAATATTGTGAAGTATTTGCGGAGGGCCTGGGACGGTTCACCGGCGGCGCGGCGAGCATTCACATACGGGAGGGAGCGCGGCCGGTGTTCATGCGTGCGCGTCCCCTGGCGTACGCTCTGCGCGGGCCGGTGGAGCGCGCGCTTGACCAGATGATGATTTTTCGACGGAATAATCTAGAATATAACCAATACAAAACACGCACAAATTATAAAGAGTTAAGCGAGTTCAAATCCCATGCACCTGCAAAATTTTTATCTACGGGAAAATTAACACTCGGATTTCTAATATGATTAAGGAAAACATCGTATGGAAACCTGTTAGTAATAAAATTTGCCAAAAGTTTGCGTTACCTGTATGTAACATTATAATTGCACCTAAATACGCACCCGAACGAAGTAAAGGAAATGGAGCAAGGGGTTTTATCCGTCTGTCTATTACATTATTATACTAAGTAAAAAACGATTTCAATCCAATGAATCATATCAAACGAAAGTGCAAATCAATTCTCATCTAAGAAATTATGCGATTGTAGGAAATGTGGATAGACATTCTCGACGCCAGCGGTGGAACGGCGCGGTTGTCATTGAGTACGGAAACAATACCGACTTGCGAATCTAATTACTGTATAATATTATCATGTAAATCACTTATACAGCTTCCAAACTGGACAATATTATTTATTAAATAGCTTATTATAATAAGTCTTTTATTTATAGCACGCATATAATCTATAATAATGTTATAAAGAGGTAAAGTTTGTGACGTTGTAAGGGGTAATCTCTGGATCTACTGAACCGATTTAGATGAAATTTGTTAAAAAGATAGTTTGAGATCCTGGGAAGGACATCATTTGTATCCCGGAAATCATCCCTTAAGAGGATAAAAATGGGAATGAAAGTTTGTATGGGGAACAACCTGGGGACGAACCCGAGCGAAGCGAGGGTGAGTCGCTAGTGCTTACATAATTTATGGAATAAAGTATAAGAGAAAGGCAGATTATATGTAATGGATTTAAACCCCATTTATAAAGGTTTATCCTTTTTTTAGAAATGGCAACTTGATCTAACTTTAATTATCAAAATGGAACTTCACCTTTAATAGAACAAATTATTTTTTTTCATGATCATACATTAATTATTTTAATTATAATAGAACGTAAGTAACTATGGTGGTCATTTGTCATTATAATTTTATGATTAACTTCCGAAAATTGAGTTTAAATCATAATAAATATATGATATAGGTATATTATAATAAGGTTTATTAACTATTTATATTATTGTAAGTTCAAGAATGCAATTGGAATGATGATAAAATCAAAATAAAAGATAAATTATATGAATTATATTATGTAAGTAATTTCATTACTAGATATAGCATCTGTTATAGACAACTGACATGATGTACAATATTATGAAATGATTGTTATGATGTTTGTTTGTGGAAATATTGTAATTAATAATTATACAATAACTCTCTATTATGTTTATAATATAAATTGAATACTATTTAGTGGCGTAGCTATGCCAATGCAATCAATGCGGCCGCATGGGGTCCCTGATTCAAGGGGGCCCCAGCGGGCAACAAACTATTCTTATATTTCATGACTTTTTTTCTCCTAGAAATAGGCCTTCATAGAAGTTTAGTAGTATGTAGTATTCAGCCCTTCTTTTTAACGTGGACACGGGCCTCCCTTCAGTACGAGGGGGATCTGGCCATAGTCCACCACGCTCTCCAAGTGCGGGTAATCGTGCTCCAAGCGGTAATCGTGTTAGAAATGATTCGCACGTGAAAATATCAGAGGTGCGAGACCCGGGATTTGAACCCGCTTCACTCGGTTTCCCAAGCGAGCGTGTTACCACTGGGCTACCACTGCCTTTAGAAGTTTAACGAAAAAAAAAAGAAAAATGTGTCCTAAATTTCCTCTTATTATTTTATAATAGGCAAAATGACCCTCCCATTTTTTCGCAAAGGGGCCCAAAAACACTAGTTACGCCACTCATACTATTCATTATAAAAATGAGAAGAAAGTGGTAGCCAAATATTTCCATAATTACCAATTTGTGCGTGTAACGCTGGCAAGCAATGTCGGAACAAATCTGGTCAGTTGCAATTCATCACAGCTCCTCGTTTGCGCAATAAAACCGTAACGATCCCATGATTTTTACGAGCGAGTAGAAACAGGCAATCCCTGGGTCGTATATCTATCATAAAATGCAGGAATCAATTCACAAATGGAGAGGCAATATTGGAATATCGTAATATAAAAATGTTTCAAAATACTGAAGATATATTTACAATAGCTATATAATAATATTAATGGGTCTAGTAAATATTTAACGGCGATGGGCCATGTGTCTGCTACGTCAGAGGTAGGAGGTTCGATTAATGTACCTAGGGAGTGTATGTTTAATGTTTATATTATTAAACATTTAGACGGTATCTTGGTCCTAGTTAAGGCACTGCACGTATAAGGCCCTATCATTACGCATTTACGAAAACAGAACTAAGTAGGTACTAACAAATGATCGTAATCTTTGTGTAGGTACTCCGCAGGAAAATTTGAGCAAATAATTCGTAATAATACAAGTTATTTTCAAGTCATTATAACTTTTAAATTTAATTGTTTAAATATCACATCGAACAATCGAGAATATTAAAATGTGTTAAAGTGCTAATCATTGTCACCAAAAAACCTCAACGTAAGAAGTCTACTTGCATCGACATTCTATAAAACGGACGTGTAAAGCGTGACTTTTATCGAGAGTTACGTGTACTTGATAGTTACACATTCTTTTGCACAAATTAAAAATAGAGCTTGAGTATTAAGATTATTTTTTAACCGACTTCCAAAAAGGAGGAGGTTATCAATTCGTCGGAATCTTTTTTTTATGTATGTTCAGTGTTCACCGATTACTCGAAGACGCCTGAACCGATTTGGAAATTTTTTTTGTTTCAAAGGGTATACTTCCCAGGTGGTCCCATATAAATTTTATCGAAATCGGTAGAGCGGTTTTTTTAAAAATCGACAATATTTTTTTTTAAATAAATTTCTTAATCGAATATGTTATTAAAAACTTTCTTCTTACAAATTATAACTAATAAAAAAAAATTAAAACCGACTTCCAGGCACTAAAATGTAAAAAATAACTAAACGGAGGTTTTCATTTAGAATAGATACCTAATCAGATATTTTCGAAGTCGGTGCCACTGTAACAATAAATAAAAATAAGTTACATGTTAGTTAAAGACGAGGCATCAACGTTGTGTAACAACCATTAAGCCAATAAAACATTTATACGCAAGAACGACCTTTCAAACTATAAAAATATGATGGTTGTAATAATGCAGAAATTAATCCTATTATTTTATGCGTTTATGTCTATATATAATCGATTTGATCGGCCTTCGGATAATAAGGTGTCGTCGAACCTGTCGTGTGAGGTTTCTAAGCCCTGGTGCAGGTGTTTTGATATCGCAGTTCCTGCAGGGCTTCCATTGTTGAGGCTCAAATGCACTTAACGATTTACTTTATATCAGTTTCATTAAAAATAGTGTGAAAACTGGAATGGAGGTCATATTAACACTAACAGATTACATTTACAGACGTCTGGTGCAACAATGGCAAAAGAAATAGGTATACCTATTCTATAAGAGGACTGACATATGGGCTAAATGGTTTTGTAAATAATATATTTCATTATAAATATGACACACAAAACAAAATATTGTTATCATTTAAAATAAATATACTTCTGATTTGGACTATATATAAGTACATTTAATAGTAACTCGGTAGTATTAAGTGAAATAATTTTAGAATTTAGACCTCTATGTAAAAGTTAGATCAAGTTTTGTGAATTTACAAAAAGAAGTCTAGAATATGTAGAGGCAAACGATTCATACGACCTTCATGAAGGTGAGTGTCCGATCACAAAGGAGCCAAACTATCTATAGAGTATGGGATACATTTAAAAGATTTCAATAATGGTGCTGTTAAAAGCTGACGAAAAAGTTCCGACGCATTACGTTAAATGAAATAACTAAATTGTGGCTCGATCGAAAAAAAAAAAGTTATTCACAAAAAAGCTACACTACCAATAGGTATAGACTGGTTTATTATTTCTTAGGAAGGTGTAGTAAATTTATATTTACAGACCATAGAATGAAATCGCGATCTTCAAGTTAAGAAAGAGCTAATACTAATATTAGTTTTTTTATTTAATACTAATATTATATTATTTATGCTATACTAGCGACTTATCCTTGCTTTGCTCGGGTGCGTCCTTAGTTACATTTTAAATAGATATAAATAGATATTATCCAGCATTAGCCATGTAAATTTTAAATTTTGTTTTCGTGATTTTTTTGATGTTTTAATAGTTATTCTGGTATTCGGGGCGGACACAAATCCAACAAATCAAAGATCATACAAATCAATCCAGCCTTTCTTTTATATATACTTATAGATATTTTAAATATTTACAAAAAATATTATTGAAATTCACGTTAAACCACAAAAATAGATATTTACATGGAAACATGTATAGAAATATATTTAAAATAGAATTATTTTACAGTGTACAAAATACATAGTCTATACATATAATAAAATTGTAACTAAGTCGAATCTGTACATTAAATATTTTTTGGCAAATCTAATTGAAATAGACATTATTATCGATACAGAGTCCGAATCTATAGTTTTCAGAATTTTTGTGTCTGCCTGTCTGTCTGTTACAGCATCACGAGAAAACCGCTGGACATTTTGATGAAATTTGGTATGATGATAGCTGGTTATCCGGGTCAACATAAAGGATACTTTTTACCGCGGGAAAATATCTTATTTCTGAGAAAAAATATATAAAAACTGCATTGTAAGAGTATACTAATAGGTGAAACCTAAGAATTTGGTTTTTGGTCATCTGAACGCGGGCGGAGCCGCGGGCAATGCTAGTTCTATATAAAGCGCTGCAATTCAAATAGGGATTACCAGCCGTCGCGCAAACCGAAAACGTTTCAATTTAATTCGAAACGGCAAATAACAAATATTGATACGTGATATATCATTAATCCTAGACATTAAGAGAAGAGCCACATATATCATCATGAATGCATATTACTTCCAAATACTAGTTGTAATTTATATTTACTTATGTATAGTCTTTTTACAGTGAAAAAAGTAGGAAACTATAAAATTAAGGTTTATTTTTATGAGCTCTAACAATTTTTGTTCGCATTTTATACAACTCTTTATGTGGGAGATGATCTTATTTTTCAATTGTTT